TGAATCCATGCAGTGATTGTCTTAAATGTGAAGTTCTCAAGCTAAAAAGAGATAAAGTAACTGCTGACTAGTAGTGAAAAAGATCATATCTGGAAGAAATGGTGGATGGTGTGCAAAAAGAAAAGGTGTGGGGGGGGGGGGGAGGAGAGGTTGTGTGTCTGAGACTAAAACATTATGTAGTTAAACTCTAGCATAGGCTTATAATTATATCTTCTTCCCACCTCCTCCCTCTGATCTCTTAGGTAGAGAGGTTTGATGTCTAGCCTTTTGTATGACAACGGAGATGTCGCTTTTTTCAGGTGGCTAACGTTAAAAATCCCACTTGTAAATTGCATAGAATAGGCTGTTAAAATCTGTTATTGTCCTGACAAGATTAAGAAATTAACCTTCCCCAAAATAATCACAATTTTGTTCACTGATCTAAGTATGTTGATGTAAGATATCGGCTCATATTAAAAATATTTTATTGTTTTATCTTCAGATAAAACAGGGAAAAAGGCAGACATAGGAGGCAAAGAAAGTTTGTGTCAAGTCCAAAACACTTATCCATTGTTCATATGGGTCTGCCAGAAAACAACAGATGTCTGGCCCATGTCATGAGTACATTAAATACAATGAGAAAAGTGAGAGACTTTCATTCTTTCATTACCAATCAACTCCCCCCATGTAGGTTCTGGATCCCCATTTTATGGTGGAACAAAGAGTAGACCCACCACCTCCTCCCTGACAAGCATGTCATAAAAGGTGAAGGATAAGGGTTTGCTGAAATCAGATGTGATGGGTCAAAAGGCACAGATATCTCAGCTTGGCCGTAAACCTTAACAAATTGTGCCAACAGCCAGTTTAAGAGGATGCAGAAGAAGAAGAAGAACCATTCAACTCACCATATGTTTATTAGCTATGCTTGGCAGGGCCTTAATGGAGTGGCTGGATGCTTTCCTGTCAGCCCAAAGTTGGTGGATTTGATTCTGCTTCAAGGTGCTTTTTTATAATTGGCCTGCGCTCCTGTGTTGACCCATCCAAAAATGGGTACCATATTCCCTGTGTGGGTTCCTGGGCCCATTTAACGAAAAAAAAAATAGACCCACTGCCCCCTAACAAGCATGTCCTAGGAGGTAAATAATAAGGGTCATTTCCTTCAAGCTCGGAGTTAATCTATCAGAGAGGCAAGGAATCAACAGTGTGCATACAAATAAACCATATTTCTAAAATTGATGTGCCTGCAAAATTCAGGTCCTGAAACAAGACCAAAGTTCAGAAATGGATGAACAACCAGAACTTTTCATCAAAGTTTACAGCTGGTGAGTGCGGAGAAGAAGAACAGCATGGGTACCAGAATTGTTCTTGGAAGTTAAGATGGTTTTGTGATTTTTACCACATCACCCATCTAGTGCCACGTGGCCTATAAAAATATGGATATAGCACCATATGGAAAGGTTCCTATTTCTTACTTTTCTGCCATAAATGATAAAATTGTAATCAGTTGCTTGTCTCACCCACTTGTTACATTATTCAGCTCTCTAAGCCAGTTGTTACTTCTTCTGTTCAATAGGGTACAAGTTTACATTCTTTTAGGTCTAAACTGTATTGTTGTTCATCCCTCACAAGTGATGAGGATCACTTTGTCTTTCATCTGTCATGATACAATAGTTGAGTTCTGTGAGCTGGAGGTGGCTTATAAGCCCAGTACGGACCCAGAAGGATCTAGAACAACGAGGGCAGGGAACAATGCATGTTGTTAAGATGTTGTTAAGGGCCTGTTAAACTGAAGGTATGGTATTTCCAGTTTTGTTGTACACTTGTGAAATATAGACTACGTACAGATGTCATGCAAAGCGAAACTTTTTCTTCTTCTTCTGCGTTCATCCGAAGATGTAACTGCATTGTGTGCCGTTTACAGCATGGCTGCGATATTTGCACCTTTCGGCCAACACATCCGATTTCTGTGGGCATTTGTTGACCGGGTTAGCCTTCCCGGTTAGGACATGGCAGTCTCATTGTTGTGTGGTCATTTTTATTTCCCAGGTCACAGGTTGTGCCCCAATCAGGCTGGTCTAGAGAAGCCACAAAATGCTGATCAGCCCTCAAGAGAAGGCAGGGGCAGAACATGAGCATTCCCCGCCATCCAAGGAGGCTTCCACAAATGCAGAGCTAATACATGGTGCTCTGGTACTGGGCTCACCCATGGAATCGTCACGTCCTGCTCATGACTGTTTAACCTCACTTCCATATATTGAACATCTTATACATCATGGGCTATCTCTTTTGTAGCCAACAGTATGCAGCCTGCAGACCTAGGATTTCATTTACCTACACCACAAAATGAGTACTTTGAATCTTTTGCATGTTAGACTTTTACTGCAGTGGACTTCCTCATCCACTATAGTTCTACATGGTTTACGAGCTCTGCATCTCTAGGGACTATTAGCTCAGAGAATCCTGGAGTTTTATTCTTCTTATACCTTCAGATGTCAATGTGGATATATTTGAAGAAATCAGCAGTCAACTTGAGGTTGTTGACATCTCCACACAGTTTATCCTCAAAAGTTGTGGGTTTTAGCCAGAATAATTTTCTTTGTTCTGCACGTATTGGACACTCTTGCAGCAAGTGTTTAGCCGTCATTTTACCCTTTCCACAGTTACAATCATCATTGTCTCCTATCTTTAGTTTATTGAACAAGTGGTGTTTCAGCCTGTTATGTCCTGTGCGGAGTCTAAAGATCACTACTTGTTCTTTTCGGCCAAGTTGATAGTATGCATCATCCTTCTTGTAGCCTGGATATTCAGAATCCCATTTGATTCTATATGTGCTTCTTATAAAATTCTTGGCCTCATCATATGTTATGTCTATATCAGGCTGTGGTAGTCTTCCACCTTCCTTTGCCAATATGTCAGCCTCTTTATTTCCAGGTATGTTGCAATGGGATGGAATCCATTGTATTATGACTCTTTTTGATATCTGACTCAGTCCATAGAGTGCAGCTCTAAGGTCTGCTAGTTCTGTATCATTTTTGCTCTTCAGCGCTGAGACAACTGACTTTGCATCTGTGAAGATAGCTATGTATTCCTCAAAGCTAAACTATTTCCAACAGTCTGTCTAAGATATAGCACTTCAAGGACACATTAAAGGCATCACTTCTTCTTCTCTTCTTTTCTCTACTGCTAAATTGCCTTGGGACATCAGGGCAGAAATAGATCTCTGGAACAGACCCTTCTGTTCGCTTCGTATAAAGTACTTTTCAGTTTCTGATATTTCTGCGGTCCATCTTCTGCATGGTCAACTCTGGCTCTGCTACCGCTGTATCTATATAACATTGCTCTCTGTGGTGCCCTGTCTGATGCCAATCTTGTTACATGGCCAAACCATTTGTTTTGTTGTCTACCTATAAAGTTCAGTATTGGATCTGTGTCGACTGTCCTCCTAAAATCATCGTTCCTAAGTCGATCTATCCTCATTACAACTAGCATTGTACGTGAACATTTCATTTCTGTCATGACTATTTTTGTTGTCTTTTGAAGACAGTGTCCATGTTTAACATTGATAGCAGAGCATTGGTAAGAATATTGTGTTGAATTGTGTTCTTTTAGTGTTCATATTCACATATTTGCATTTCAAAATTGGTGCCAGTTGGCCTAAAACTTGATTGGGTTCATTGCATCTTTGCGGGATTTCTGTATTAATTCTTCCGTCCTCTGAAAAAAATACTCCCCAAATATGTAAAATCCTTTGTTTGCTCTAACTGGTGTTCATCAGTTATGATATTGGGAGTTCTTCATTTTCTGGAGAATGTCGTCACTTCTGTTTTGTCTACGTTGATCTTCATATCGTAGTTGTCGCATCACTTAAAACCTTTAATATAGACCCTGACACTTGGGAGGCTAATGCACAAGACCCGAATCCCCCGTGTGGGTTCCACATTATGGGGAAAACAAGAATAGACCCACTGCCTACCTGAAAGCATGTCGTAAGAGTCGACTAATTGGGAGCTTCCTTTGAAGTCGGAGTGCGTCTGTCCGAGAGGCAAGGAACCAACAGTCTGCATTCAAGTGAATAAGATCTGTAAAACTGATGCACACGCAACACTCCGGTTCTGGAGCAGGACTGCAGTCCAGAAGTGGACGAACAACCAGAACTTTCCGCCAGTGTGTACAGCTGGTGAATGCTAAGAAGAAGAAAAAGACCCGACTACCTGGCTAATGTCTGTCCGAACGGGGGCGGCGATTTGTGAAGCTTCTAAAAAAAAATCAACTGAACAGTGCAGGCAGGCTAGAATTACTGTACAGCAAGAACTGCTGTGGACAGAATGGGTTCATGTAGCAATTATCTGAGTCTTAAACTGTAAATTCATACTCTAGCCAGCTGTTACATTAGCCCACTTAACCTTAGTTATGGAAGTTTTGAATTTCTGGCTTAAACTTGGTCAGATCCTTTTCCTTCAACCTGTCCAACGGGTGGACGACCCTGGGAGCATTCATAGTTATGGCTGCAGGGATCTTTAGAACAAACTGGCCACACTACTACAGTGAGATCAAGACATTATAGATTTTATTTTAACTTGCACCGACCATATTATTTTGTATGCTGTCTTAATGTTGGAGAGGTGATAACATAGTAGATAAAATGCTGACATGTTGGTCCGGTATATATAGGTTCAAATTCCTATGAAGCTGGAATTTTAAAATTGATCTCCACACTCAGGCTGACCTAACAGAAAAAATGGATATGGGAGCATATTCTGGAAAGTAATGGCGATTAGTGTGTTATGAACTACATTACTGATCGAGAGCTAGAACTTTATGCCTAGTTTTTGCCTCAAGGCATGGAAATTGTTCTTTCACTTTACTTTCTACTGTTTTATGTTTTTATAATTAGGGATTATTCTTTTTAATTTGATGGAAGAAACCCCAGTCAAGGTGAGAAAAATGTATGCTAAATTTATGATATCCTTGTTGAAAAGCATTATACACTGTCACTGTTATTTTAATTTTATTTTAAACAGAATGGTGAATTTTGTGATCTGGTTTTTGAATTAAACAACTGCAAGTTCTATGCTCACCAACTGGTTATAGCGGCCTGGAGTCTTCCAGTGAAGAATCTGCTAGAGCATCAGTCAACTTGTAATCAGCATTTACGTGTGGTGTATGATCAGCCAGATGTGTTCCACATGTTTATTACTTTCATGTACACAGGTGACCTTCCTACGCAGGTAACAGACATCTCAGCACTTCTACTTCTAGGTGCAACGTTTCAGGTATAAATCTTCTTTTCTTCCTTCGTTTTCTTATCCTTCTGTACCTGTTCTTCTTCTTGACCCCCTTTTCACATTCTTCTTCTTTCTTTCCCCCTCCTTTTCTTCTGTTCTGTTTTTCTGCCTCCAGTGTTTCTTTTTTTCGTGTTTGCTGTTTTTAAGTGTTAACACAAACAGTACAGTGCTCTGCAAACATGTTTGCTGTTTTTAAGTGTTAACACAAACAGTATAGTGCTCTGCAAACATGTTTGTTGTTTTTAAGTGTTAACACAAACAGTACAGTGCTCTGCATACATGTTTGCTGTTTTTAAGTGTTAACACAAACAGAACAGTGCTCTGCATACATTTTTGCTGTTTTAAGTGTTAACACAAACAGTACAGTGCTCTGCATACATGTTTGTTGTTTTTAAGTGTTAACACAAACAGTACAGTGCTCTGCATACATTTTTGCCGTTTTTAAGTGATAACACAAACAGTACAGTGCTCTGCATACATGTTTGTTGTTTTTAAGTGTTAACACAAACAGTACAGTGCTCCGCATACATGTTTGCTGTTTTTAAGTGTTAACACAAACAGTACAGTGCTCTGCATACATGTTTGCTGTTTTTAAGTGTTAACACAAACAGTACAGTGCTCTGCATACATGTTTGTTGTTTTTAAGTGTTAACACAAACAGTACAGTGCTCTGCATACACGTTTGCTGTTTTTAAGTGGTAACACAAACAGTACAGTGCTCTGCATACATGTTTGTTGTTATTGAGGGTAATTAACTCGTTAGCTGCATGAATAAATCTGTCAATGCTGTCTGTTTTTACCATTTTTTAGGGCGGTGTAGACAGGGGGGCCTTAAGCCTAAGGATTAAAGGCATCCTGGCTAGGGCTGTCACCACGGACTGTGCAGTTTATGATGTTTAATTTTGCTCCTGACAGAAAAACTCCATCGCCTTACCAGGGGTCGAACCCGAGTCTCCCACATAAGACTCCATAAATGCTACACAAAAAAAGTGGGAGGGGGGGGGGGGGGGGGGGGGGTCATTAACCTGTAGGAATGTCCAGGAAAACTTGAATAAAAATTTACACAAAAAAGTTGTTTATATTTTTAAAACATTTTTTTTGAACGACACAAACATATTTCAAAGTGCCAATCAGTAAACACTAACAGAGAGAAGCATTAGAATGCATTCCCTGTGGCCTAAAAAAAAAAAAAAAAAACTACAATAACCCAGAATGTATCAGGTGACTCATGCCGTGACATCTGTCACAGAGGAATTTGGGAACAATAAACTTGGCTTTCAAAAAGCCAATGGTGTCATAAGGATATACCCCTAGATGTTATCTTAGTTACCAAATTCATACCCTGTCCAATTAAACACAGTGCAGGCATAATTAGAACAATGGAGTTGAACTACACTTTTTTTAGAATAGGTCATTGCAGACAAGACCACTCACTCTCTTACTGTCATTCCTAGGTGGTGGTTGGGGGGGGGGGGGGGGGGGGGGGTGAGCAGACGATCTGGAAGTTATTCAGACTTAGTTGAGGTTTCAACATCACTGAAATCAGGTTTCCCCATACTTGCTCTGTTCCTGGGCCAGTGCAAATCAAATTAAATGTCCTTCATTGTTGGAGTTGAAAAACTGAGTGAATAAACAACTAGTCCCTGAACAATCCAGAAATACGTGCAAAGATATTCAGAACTGAGGGGAAAACACAGGTGAACTTTCAGTCAGGTATAAACTGGTACAGTTAGCATATGGACTCTTTGTTGGCTGCTGAAGAACGAGACGGACTATGTGGGTCAATTATTGATTTATTTATTCATTCGTCCTTAACTGAACGAATTCCCTTTCCATTGGAAGTGGAAATTTAGAAGAAGGAGAAGGAGACTTCCTAATAACTTTATGTGGGTGTGTATCAATGCGGAGCGGTGTGTATCAATGTGGAGCGGTGTGTATCAATGTGGAGCAGTCTGTAAGCCATAATTGACAGGACATATGTGGCTGTCGGTTTAGCCTACTCACAGTTGCACAAAAGAGGCAAGTCTAGTCTCAGTCTCTATAAGTTGCGATATCTGCTAGCATAGTACGGTGATACATCAGCTGGTTAGAATGTATTAAAATGAAGTTTTTCTGTTGGAAATGAAATAAATCAAACTTGGTTTGTAATGGAATAATACAATTTTTCAAAAGTTTGGTAAATATTGGCTCCTCCAGGGAATTGGGGCATAGATTAAAGGATCAACAGCAGTGAAGTGTCCAGCATTATTTCTTGTGTTTATGTGGAATTGCCTAGCTTTTCTTTTCCAGAAAACACTCAGTGTTAGTGTATTGTTCTTACAAATGTAATAGACATTTTTTTTTGGGAGCATACTAATGACATTATGAAGACTCTGAACGTTAAAGCTGTATTATACAGATTAATACATATTTCTATCCTCAACCTTAGAAGATTATGGGGTTGCATCAGAGAACAGCAACAATGATCAGAGCATGCATCTGTCTTCTGGCAACACAAGAATGTGAGTTATGGACCATTTCAAATCAATAATGAAACAATTTGGGATTTTGAACTTAAATGGATGAAGATGACAAATGTGACATTCTTTTAGGTCTGACTGTTTAAGAAAAAACCTGGTATGGGGCCCATTTTTTAAGTAAGTCCCAGTATAAAATAAAATAAAAAAACATATAAGTGATTTATTGCAGCCAAAAGTGAACCATACATTTATATTATTTCTCAACATAGTCACCATTGATTTCAACATATTCTTGGTATCATGGCATCAGGTTCTCAACTCCAGTGTAGAAGTCTGCCGCCAGTGTCTTAAACCATTCTGTCTACAGTTCATCATCAGGTTCAAACCACAGGGATGCCAACCAATTCTTTACTTGTATGAAAAGTTGGTAATAATTTGGCGCCAAATCAGGGCTGTAGGGCGGGTGGTCAACAATTACCTCACATTATAAATCACTCACACGCAGCATCAAACAAGATTGAGACAGTGAAAAATAACACACAGTTAGCTAATGAACCACATAAACATACTGTGTATTCTTATTTACGTTTTCAATCGGTATTTGTTTACTGTGGTTCAAATGGGACTTACTTAAAAAAAACCTGCCTTATATGAAAATAGCGTCATGTCTTGGAAACTGAAATATATGTAAAAATATATATATATATATATATATATATATATATATATATATATATATATATATATATATATATATATATATGTGTGTGTGTGTGTGTGTATATATATATATATATATATATAAACACCACAGCAACTTACAAAGAACTGTTAAAATTGTATTAGTTAAAATTCTGTCTCGTTGTTCTGAAGAAACTCAAACTCATGGTGCTATATGATTAATGTGTTTAAACAATCAGCTGGTGTCTCTTACAGAACAACCATATTGTTCAGTTTTTTGTGTTTTGTTTTGGGTTATTTTTACAAAATCCGCAGTAAATGTTCAGGATATTTATTGTCGGCTGAAGGCAAAACTCTTTTATTCTTATAGTCTTGAGTGTTCTGTATTAAACACATTATGGCTTGAAAAACTAATTGTTTCATTGTCCTTTCAGATCCCACTGTTGATGGAGCTGTGTGAAGAGCAGTTGAAAAATAACACAGATGTGAAGAATGTCATTGAAGTATGTTGTCTGAGTATTACATTTCAGCTGCCAGATTTAGAACAACACTGCATACAGTTTCTGTGCAGGAACCTGCAAGAAATAACCAAGAAGCCGACATTTCTTGATCTCACACCAGCACAAATGAATGCAATCTTAGGATCAGAGCATCTGTTGAAGTATGACCCTGAAATTAAACTGTGCTTGATTAGCTTTTGGCTTACTAAAGACACACTCAACAGAGAGCAATTCTTAGTGCTGTTACTAAGACATGTTGAATGGTCAAAGATGCCAGATAATTTTTTGAAGAGGATTATTCACACAGACAGCGTTTTTGCTTCAAATCCTTCATCCCTGTATTTGTTATTACAAACAGTTATATTCTTCAAGTTTTCCTTTAGGACCCCTCAGGAGACGTTTCCAGTCTTTACAAAAACAGTATAGTCATCGCCTTAATAGTATTTCCAATAACAGTGATATGTTAAACTCATTTAAACCTAACAATCTTCAGCCGTTAAAGTTCTCACTTGTGTCTCCTTCTAGTAGAGACCCTAGTGTTCCAGAATGTGCAAGAAATTTGGCAAATATTGTTGGAATTAAAAATGAACTTGTACAGTTTGTAGATTTAGACAGAAATGAGTCATCTATTTACCATAACTCTGCATGTTCAAATGTTGATCAGAATTGTGTTGATGCAGCTCTGGATGTTCCAGTTTCATCAGATAAAACATCACAGTGTGTGGGCTTTAGGGAATTGTCTTCAGAAACTCCATGTTCATTATATACAGATGTACCTTCAGAAAGATCTCACACTGCCAACAGTCAGTCAACTGATGTCAGAAACAGATTGAGAAGACAGTTGATAAAACCTCAAAGATTCATCAGAGACTATGGCATGACAAAAAGTACATCAATAAAAATATCTACGAGAAAATCAAAGAAAAGTGAAATTATACAGCAGCGTGGAAGAGGGAGGGCTAAAGGTAATTACAAATGTTAATATTTTTTTGATAACGGTTATTCAGCAGATAAAAGTACTTTTAGTTGTAGAGTGAAATTTTCAAATGTTGTTTGGAGTAATGAAAGAAGTTGCGTATGACAGTTCACTACTTTAGACCTGTAAAAGTTTAGGGTTGTTTCATTTTTTTCACCATCTGGAACTACAGGACTCTAGTATTTTATGTATTTTGTTATATGAGCTTAACATGCTTTAAAGAATATACAATTACTGTATGAAAGGTGAGGGTTTGGAAAGACTGAATATAAAACAGGCCTGTGCGCCCAGTTTGGGACCCTTCCCTTTGAAAATGTTTCTTAGTTGATTCAAACTCTGCAGGTACTGTGTTTGCCATAACTAGCTTCTGATTACTTTTTTGTGTGTGGCTAAGAATCAGTTTGATTGCGCACAAACATTTCCATAAGTGCTGCAGTTGTCTAGTTGTCTCCACACAGAGAATCTCAGAACCGTGCATGATATTTCCAGCACAGATGAGGATCTATATATTTGTGTACTAGAATCATATATACTATAGATCATGTTCTTCAATCCATGGACCGTGGTCCACTGGTGGGTTGCGGAAAAAAGTCTAGTAGGGCTCCCAACAAGTATGTTCAATCATGTAATGAGGTGGGTAGATGGTGTATCTCTCCCAGCCTCTAGGATTAAGACCTCAGTTACTTCCAAGGAGAGAAGTCAGAAAGATGTTATTGTAGCCTTTTGTCCATCAGAAACAATTCTCCAGCCACATATATAAGTAACAAATAAACTGTTGTCTACATTTGTTTTTGTTTCGTATTTCTTCTTCTTCTTCTTTGCGTTCACCGGCTTTAAACTCCGACATAAAGTTCTGGTTGTTCGTCTACTTCTGGACTCTAGTCTTGTTCCAGAAACTGAGTTTTAGATGCACATCCATTTCTCAGATCTTGACTCATTTGCATGCAGACTGTTGGTTCCTTGCCTCTCAGGCAGATGTACTCTGACTTTGAAGGAAGCTTTCATTTAGTCAACTCTTACGACATGCTTTTGGGCATCTGAAACAACAGATCATGTCCTCCAAGACTGGACTGTCCCAAATACAACACATCAAGGCAAAACTTTTGACTAAGAGAAACATCAGTGCTAAGTCAAACTTTACGGGTCACTAAGTGAATTACAAAAGACAGTGAAGTTCATACTAGAGACAACATTGCAGGTGTAGATAATCTATTTAAAGCGAACAAAAGAAGAAGAAGCTTTTGGGCAGGCAGTGGGTCTGTTCTTGTTTTCCCCGCAATGGGGCCCGAAACCTACACAGGGAGTTTTGTATTTGATTAACTGTCATTTGGGCCACAAAACAGTTCACCCCGCTAAACAGTTCACCACCCAAAACAGTTCACCCCGCATAACAGTTCACCCCGCAAAACAGTTCACCACCCAAAACAGTTCACCACACAAAACAGTTCACCCCGCAAAACAGTTCACCCCGCATAACAGTTCACCCCCCAAAACAGTTCACCCCGCATAACAGTTCACCCCCCAAAAGAGTTCCTCCCGCATAACAGTTCACCCCGCAAAACAGTTCACCCCGCAAAACAGTTCACCCTGTTTTGGTGGGCTGCTGTTGTAAAATGGTTGAGAACACCTCTATGTTGATTCTTTTGTCGATAAGTTTCCTATTTGAGAAATTATTTGTTATTCTAGTCATACATGAACAAATCTTACAAAGGAAAACTAGTGAATAAAAAACTGTGCACTCACGCGCGTGCACACACACACACACACAGACAGACAGATATATATATATATACACTCACCAACCAACCAAACAAACAAACTAAAGAAATTGTCCCATTTAACATTTGTTATACACTTAACCTGTGCATACTTTATATTTTCCCAGATCAGAATGTTAAACAAAAAAGGATAACAACAAAAGCATCCACTAAGACAGCTAAAGCAGCAAGGGAAAGACGCACCAAACCAGATCAGAGAAGCACATCTGCCAAAGTGAGCCCTGTAACAAGAGTGGAAACAGAAAATGGCGCTAAGGTATTGAATTTGTGTTCTCACACATGGAAGTGCCCCAAGTGCTGTGATGTCAGTTCTTGACTCAACCCAACTTCCTCTGTATTAATTTAGAGGCACAAACCTGCGGGCTTGGTAATATGTAAATATGTTTTGTTTACACTGGGAGCTGCAGGGTTTAAGATTGAGAGAAAAGTGTATAGGTTTGACATGGTGGCTGTCATGTAGATATTTGATAAATTATAACTTTCATTTCTCAGTATTAAATCATTTACAAACTTCCCTGTCTGGGTTCTAGGGCAGACAAAAATGGACACACTGCCTCTCTAACCAGCATGTTGTACAAGGTGACTACTTAGGGAAGTTTCGTTCCAAGTCGGAGTGCCCCTGTCTGAAATGCACACGGAGAGGATATGCATGTAAAACTCAAATTTTGAAAAATGACCAAATTCCAGAAATGGACAAACAACCAGTTTCCACTGGAGTTTACAGCCGTGAACACTAATAACAAGAAGATGATTTAGAGAATACAGGCATAATTTTGTTCAGATCCATATCATGTGGAATTTTTGCCAAAATGGACCTTGGCTCCCAGATCAACTCATTCTAAACTTGGTACCAGGCAATGTCCTTGGAACATAAATGCAGCCAACATAATATTGACTACATCACCCGTCATTTGCTGACTGGTAAATAAAAATATAGATTCAGCACTATATATCAAGAGGTGTAAAAGGGATCCTTGACTTCATTCTTGATGTACATATTTTTAGGATTAACACTTAAATTATCCATACTCTTCAAAAAATTGAGAGCAGCAAAGCACATATGGGCCTCAGTCAGGTCCTTGTCAGATAGTTGTTGACAAATTCTGTCTCTTGTTTAGTATTATATAATTTCTTGAGTTAAAAACGGTACATGTCACTAATAGTCTGACATGAAAACGGGACATTCCTCTAATATTTGCAGTTGAAAAGCGACATTCTCTAAATTAAAACATGACATTCTAATAATATTTTGAGCTAAAAACAGGACATTCCACAATTATATGGATCTACAAACAAGACACTCCACGGAAGCCAGTTTACCACCTCTCCCCACACCCGCCAACCCCCTTCGCCCACTTTTCTTCTAGTTAACCACACAGAAAGCGTTAAACACTTTTGCTTGACAATGGCTTGAAAACCCAAATCATTGCCCCCAAGAAATAAACGAAACAATATGCTGTTTAACTAATGTTTAAAAAAAAATATAAAAAAACACATTCTACAGTGAACATTCTCATCAACACATTTTAGGCACTAAAACTATCCTCAACTTTGATCTCTAAAAACGTTGACAAATATAAAAAGAAGTATGTTTTCCATTCTGCACCCTATTTCTAGACAATACTGGCTTGGTTCTGTACATATTTTTAGGATTATAGTTTCATTTCTCATTATATTTAGCTAGCAGATTTTAAATATAATAAGCTATTGCTACATCTTATGTACGGTTGTTTTGGAGAACTCTTAGTTTGAAGTTTGAACAATGGATCATCATGGCACATGAGTGCTCCATTCTTTTTCTAACTCAAGTCTGAGTCCGAAGAAGCTCAGCACTGCACAGGCTCTGTAGCACCGGCAAGGATCCTGAAATACTTTGGGTAGATTTTAAACTCGAAATTTTTTTCTGGCAGCGCCTTTAGGCTACTATTTTCAATTTCCAACTGACAAAGGACTTTTAACGTGCACAACAATGCACACGGGCATCCGATCTCACTACCCAGAGACCAGGGAGAATAACTAGAAGTCCAAGTCCACTTGAAAAAATCCCGCCCTTACCGGGAATTGAACCCAGAACCTCTAGCACTCAAGGCAGACACCATGCCTCGAGACCACGCAGCCCCCTAGAGTACTCATAATAAACCAACAAGCAGACTTTAACCAACTCATTCACATTTGAAAACTATGTAAGAATATTAGTTTTTTATTTCTTAAAATTTGCTGTCAGACATTTTGTCTGTGTTATACAGCTTTGCAATCAGTTTAATCTGTTTGAATTAATCTTGAGGCATTATTATGCCAGTGTTATTTTATGAATTGAGGAAGTTTTACATTAAAAAAATTTTGAAGGAGCCATAAAAAAACATGACTGTGAAAAGATTTCATTATTTATATTTCCTTATCCTCCCACCAGCTTGTGCCATTTGCATCATTACAATCTAGAAAGAAAAAAAAAAAACAACAACAACCCAGTAATGATCAAAGAGTGACAAATTTGGTACGGAAATATGCAGTATTGAAGTCAAAACATGTTGGCTGAAATTGCAGAAATGTTATTTAACTTTGAACTGAAACAGTGTGGCTGAGAAAGAGAGAGAGAGAGAGAGAGAGAGAGAGAGAGAGAGAGAGAGAGAGAGTGTGTGTGTTTGTTTGTTTATTTGTAAGTGTATGTTGTTTTGATTTGTTTTGCAAGGTGAACAAGGAAAGAAAAATATTGATCATTTAAATAATATGGTGTGAGAATATCAGAAATAGATAAATAAGATAATCTGTACTTATTGTACAGAGTCTCCTAAAAATGAGTTTGACATTGGTCGTTAACTCAACAGATTCATGAGGGCAACTGCTTGTTCTCTTGTAGCTTGTGCTCATTCAAGTCAAAGTGGAGCAAAGAGTACTATGGCCACATGAAGCTAAGACACTTCCCTGGTAAAGTATTGTTGCCAATTTCCTAGATTTAAAAAAAAGGGAAAAAAAACTTCTATCCTTCATCTTTTCAGTGCACCGTGGCTTTCTCCAACCCATCATCATCATGATGTTCATCTTTATGTATGTTTTTTTTTTTTTTACAAGTATGCATTTGAACATCCTCCAGGAGATCTTCAACACAGAGGATGTACTTTTGAACAAAGAAGACACAAACAGTATTAGGCACAATTTATTTGCCCTTGCATATTTTACTGTATCTTTTCAGATGCATACTACAGTAATAATTGATTAAAATTAAGCACATAAATGAATCCTTTGAAATGAAATACAAAATCACCTACATTCAAAAACTGTTTCAACAGGGTAAATGCAAAGTGAAGACCATGTCCTTTTGTCTGCATGATTCCCAAACAACATTTGGTGCCCTTTCACTAAATATTGAGTCCTAAACAATTATTTCAAACATGAATAGACACTCTAGATACAGAATATGTAATCTAAACACTTTAGAAGCGGAATATGTAGTCTATACACTCTAGATGCACAATATGTAATCTAGACACTCTAGATGCAGAATATGTAATCTATACACTCTAGATGCAGAATATGTAATCTAGACACTCTAGATGCAGAATCTGTAATCTAGACACTCTAGATGCAGAATATGTAATCTAGACACTCTAGATGCAGAATATGTAATCTAGACACTAGATGCACAATATGTAATCTAGACACTCTAGATGCAGAATATGTAATCTAGACACTCTAGATGCAGAATATGTAATCTAGACACTCTAGATGCAGAATATGTAATCTAGACACTCTAGATGCAGAATATGTAATCTAGACACTCTAGATGCAGAATATGTAATCTAGACACTAGAGGCAGAATATGTAATCTAGACACTAGAGGCAGAATATGTAATCTAGACACTAGAGGCAGAATATGTAATCTAGACACTAGAGGCAGAATATGTAATCTAGACACTAGAGGCAGAATATGTAATCTAGACACTAGAGGCAGAATATGTAATCTAGACACTAGAGGCAGAATATGTAATCTAGACACTAGAGGCAGAATATGTCATCTAGACATGTAATCTAGACACTAGAGGCAGAATATGTAATCTAGTACACTAGATGCAGAATATGTAATCTAGATACTAGAGGCAGAATATGTAATCTAGATACTAGAGGCAGAATATGTAATCTAGATGAATAATTTGAAATTTTTAAGCAAAATGGAGGGAAAAAATGGAGCATAAAAATGCCGAAAATTGAGATTTTTCCACAGGCACTTACCTGTAGGATTTTGCCAAAAATTGACATTTTCCATCAGTTAACAATTTAGTCTCAGACTGTCATTTCACATTTGAATAGATAATCTAGATGAGTAAATGGACATTTTGGAGCACATTGGTGGCAGAAAATGAGATTGGCAAAAGAAAAACGTAGGGAAAAAAAACAGAAATTTGTTGTTCAACTTTTTCAACAATCTTTGGTGTCCTACCAGGAGGCATTGGTCGCACAAATTTATTTTACCAATAATTAGAACCTCTAGATACAGATTATATAAACTAGTTGTATAATTAAAAATTTTATAGCAAACTGGAGTCGAAAATGGAGATTGCCTAAAAATTCCCAAAACTGAGATTTAAAAATTTAGTCTCAGACTATTGTTTCAAACATGAATACCTAATCTAGATGAGTTGTTGGACATTTTGGAGCAAATTGGTGGCAGATAAAGAGTTAATCAGATGATAGAAATGTGTGATTTAACCATGAAATTTCCCAAACAACTTTTGGTGTCCTTTGACTACATACAAACTGAGTTCTAAACAATTATTTTACACGTTAATCGACACTCCATATGCTGAATAGGTAATCTAGCTGTATAATTTGAGAGTCTCCAGCAAACTGGAGGCAGAAATGCCTAAAATTAGATTGTGTGGCGTAATTTAAATTCTGGACACTGTAAACAAAGAAGATGCATTTCGAATTATTTATACTTCAGCCAACCACAGATTATTGAGATTTGTGGAAGCACCCCCTGTTAACTGGTTTAGTCCAGAAATATGCAAACACATGGATGTGGTCTTTGCCTTGTATTTACCTTGGTGAAACAGACAGTTTTTTAATGTATTCGATTTTGTGTTCTAGTTCAAGGGATTTATTTATTTGCTTCATTTTAATCAAATGTTACTGTAGTATGCACCATATGAGATACAGTGAAAATTTCCAGGCAATAAATTCTGCAGTCTATTGTTTGTGTCTTCTTTATTCAAATTCACAATGGAGAATTATTGCTTGGATGTACTTTTGTAAAATATTTTAATTATCTGATCTTGAATCAGTACCGTTTTCTTTTGTCCCTGTTTTTGCAGGATGTCTGTCTGTATGTTTTATAGTGAGCCTGTCTGATGTAGAACTGTGGAACTGCCACCATTGACATCCTCTGGATGTGATCCTTTAAAAGGTGTTAAGCCACCATGGAATCCTTTGGATGTGATCCTTTGCAAATCATTAGGCCACTACAGAATCCTTTGGATGTTACCATTTGCAAGGCAGTCAAGCCACCATGGACATCTTTTAAATGTAATCCTGTGCAACAGATTGCCCTAGTATCTTCAATCAAAGCTTTGCACCTGTGTCTTTGCAGTTTTGCTTTAAAAAATATACGATTCAATTATCTACATACTCTTGCATATAAAATTAAAGAAAGAAATAAACAAATGAATGCTTTATGTACAGGTAGGAAATGTCAGATTTCTACAAGTCATCTCTTTTTCCTCTTCTTCTACCCTTCATCCCTCAGTGGAGTATAAGCTATTAATCCAGTCATCCTATCCTTTTCTTTCATTTGCAGCTTAGCCCACATTTTTTTTCACTTTGTTCTATGATTCTTTTCTTCTTGTGTTTTATTGTCGTTGTTTGCCTGATTTCCGTTCACTCTGTGGGCTCCAGTGTGAGGATATTCTACTTAAATTAGTGTCAAGTTTACTCAGTGTCTGCGTCCTATCCAATGCCAATTAGGCAATCCAGTGATTAGTTGCCTTGTGTAACATACGTGTTAGGAGGCAGTGGGTTTGTTCTCCCTCACCTCCAGGAGGCAGTGGATCTGTTCTCCCTCTCCTCCAGGAGGCAGTGGGTCTGTTCTCCCTCTCCTCCAGGAGGCAGTGGGTATGCTATCCCTCTCCTCCAGGAGGTAGTGGGTCTGTTCTCCCTCTCCTGCAGGAGGCAGTGGGTCTGTTCTCCCTCTTCTCCACCCAACAATATGAGGCCCTGAAACCCACACATGAAATTGTGTCTTTAAAAAAGTAGCTTCATAATACAGTGTGGTGACCCCATATTTCTTATTTTCAGGTCCTCCTTTTTACTGTGATAATGAACAGTGTGAATACAGCACAGACAAGTTCCAACAACTGGTCTCCCATCGCAGACAGCACAGTGACCAGCGACCTTTTGTCTGTGATATATGCCTCATGGCATTTAGGAACATGAGTAATCTTTACCAGCATTTGAAAATCCATTCTGGTTGGTGTCATTAGTAGTTAAGCTCAGTTCTGTTCTATCTAGAGTTGCCAAATGTAAAAATGTAAAAAACAGAGTGACAGTTCGTTGTTTGTAACATTTTTTACCATTAAAAAGCTATAAAATATTTATAATCAGCATACAAACTTACTCCATAGAAACAAAATTTCGGCACACACACACAAAAAACCCATCAAAACGGGAATCTAGGGAAAATGGAGTATCTGGCAACTCTAGTCCTGTCTTTGGTACAACATTTATTTTGGCATTGATGAATGGCAAAACAAGTATGTTGTAACAATTGTAAAGTTGGAGGTAAATAGAGGCAGGGGAAGATATGATGGTTGCCTATTTGACCTTATATTTGTTGGAGAAACATCTGTATCACTGGCTGGGTCTTATGAGTTATAAGCACAGTGTTATAATTCCAGCATACTGCGTTCAATTGAGTTGCAGGCAGTTTGGCAGCAGACTGCTCTGTTTTGATTTCAACAATCATATGAGAATCAAGTCATTCAGAAAATAATGGCAAACTACTGAATGTAAAATTGGCTAATAAAACCACAAGCAGTCAACAAATATGGGTAATGGTTTGTGCTATCCTGTAAAGAACATACAACTGGCTAGCCCAGGAAATATAGCCCTGAAGTAAGATGTGTCACAGAAAGATGTAGATTTTGCAGATGCAAACTGACTTTTACTGCCTTCATCAGTTTACATTTTAGGGCAGTTTCAGAGGAGGGGGAGGGGTCTTCTTTTTTTTTTTTTTGCCTGAATATTTAGGAATTAATTTTTTCCTTAATAAGAAAAATCCCAAAACCTTGTTGAGGTTTAAAACTGAATTTCCCAAATGAGAGTCCAGACACTCCTCTTTGCAGCCATATGCCTTCTGCTTCTTGTTCGCTTTCACCGGTTGTAAACTCAAACGGAAAATTCTGGTTGTTCATTCATTTCTAAACTTTGTTCTTGTTCAAGAACTTGAATTTTTTACAGATCTGGTTTATTTTTATGCAGATTGTTGGTTCCTAACCTCTCATGCAGATGCACTCAGACTTAAAAAAAAAACAACTAATTAATTTCCTTTATGACATGCTTGTTGAAGGAATAGTGGATCTATTCTAGTTATCCCACAAAAATGGAGTCCCGGAACTCACATGGGGGAAGCTGTATGTAACACTAAAAGATTGAGAAGAAATAAGAGGATGTACATCAATGCACCAGGTTTGTTCTTGTCTGGTGTTTTTTGACATAGCTGGAAAAAGAACCCACCATCTTTAGAATATATGGCACCTGTCACCACCCAGACCCGCCAACTCCCCCTTATGTAAAAGTTAACGAATGTTCCTTTAAGCTTCAGTAACTGTGAACTTTAACTAAGCCAGTAATGATCAGATGCGGTCAATAAGTATTATGTTCTTTATTGTGCAAGTTCATCCTCTGTGAATATCAGTAAATACTTTCAGATGAAAAGAAATTTGAGTGCCCAGAATGTGGACACAGCTTCAGACTGAAAAATACCCTTGTGCAACATATGGTCATTCACAGTAACCTCCGACCCTACCTGTGTGACCTCTGTGGTTTCTGCACCAAATTCCAGTCCCATCTGATTTCTCATAAGCGAATACACACGGGTATGTTTTTTTCTTTCTCCGCCAGATTATGCTAATAAACGATATATACAATTATTAATAATTCTAATTGTTTTTTTCATTACATAGTATCTTTCCCAAAAAATGCAATGACTTGTAACATAACATTTATAGTATGTGTGATTCTGATGTGTCATCATCATCTTCATCACCATCCCGTAACACTCCATGTCGTTGGGTCACCAGTTTCTGTTGACTGTCTGATCAGCTCTCTCCACCTTTGGCGGTCAGTTGCGATGGACTTCATGGTTGCCTGCCTGAGACCTGTCCAGTCAGTCAGGTTCAGTAACCAAGTCTTTCTTTTCTTGGTCAGCCTCTTCTCCTCTTTCCCTCTACTGAGCCCTGTAGTATTGTTTTTGAGAGGCCGTTAGATCTTATTACATGATCATACCATTGCATTTTTTGCCTTTTCACTTTAGTTAAAAGAGGTTTATAGTTGTCAGTGTGCTGTATAATTTTATGGCGAACCTCTTCGTTTGTGATGTGGTCTCTGTATGATATGCCAAGAAGCATCATAATTCCAGTGCGTGCATCTTCCTTTCAAGTTCAGCTGTTTCACAGCCATATGTAAATGCACTAATAACTAGTGCTCTGAGCAATAAAATCCTAGTTTTGCATGAAATGTTTTTGGATCTCCATATGTACAATTTTTTTTTTAAGTGCACATAGTCCTACCAGCCATGTCTATACATGTCGTTACAACCAGTACAAAAAGCTGTTTTAATTAATGTTTTAATTAACGTTATTTAAAGTCCCCATCCTGGTTTTTTGCCGGGGGCCCTGAGTATAGCCGGGCCATTAATATGGCCTGATGGCTGAAAGGGGTTTCTGGGACCTCTCCACGGATGATCCTCATCTGCATGGTGTGGCACTTTGTATCACCGGGTGTTTATCGCTTGTGTGATATCCTGGTGGGGTACAACTTACATACATACATACATACATACATACATACAAAAGCAGTTGCCCAGGTGTAGTGGCTTCAGCTCAAAGATATCATGTCATCAAAAACATGTCAATATCTGAAAAATGACAGATTTAAGAGCTTTATACAGCCAGTTCTCGTATATACAAAACTAGTTTCATACAAGAATTAATAGCACCGTGGACAGATTGAAAGCCTAATGAAGATGTTTTCAGGACATTATGTCTAAAAGATATTACTCTTAGAAGAGAGTAGTCCCCATTCTTTGGGTACGTCATGAGAAGGGGTTAAATTAAAATGAAGTGAAGCAAAAGAGCAAGATGCTTGATGATTGATGGAAGAGCAGCTGTAACAGATGTCAGTAAATGTGACAAAATGGTTGCTGATGGCTGTAATAATTAATGTCACCTAGCATGGATTTTGAGAAGATGAACAAGAAGAACAAAAGCAACTTTGCTATACTAGTTTTTGTCTTACCTCTGTATGGCAATATCCATTTGAGTTAGGATCTTCCATAGACCCCTCTGCAGTGACTTTTGCTTCCCGCTGACATGTTTTCACATTATGAACTACACAACTCTGATTATGAAGTACGCAGTTATTTAAAAACTTTGACTGTGGAGCTCCCATATGGCTATGTCACACAAGTTAAAATGAATTGGCCTGTTTTCATTTTTAAGCATGTAATTGTACATTGTATTGTAGTATTTCATTTTCTCAGAGATGACTTGCCTAGTTAAAATTGTTTACTTTATTTAAAAAAAAATCTTTTCCCAGGTGACGTTTACCACTGCGACTTTCAATCTTGTACCTATTCCACACCAAAAAAATCACAGATGAAATCACACATGCGTTCACATCTGGATATTCGCGGCCATGTCTGCGGCTCTTGTGGTAAAGCCTTTATTGAAAAATCTCATCTGATTAGACATGAGCGCACACATTCATCAGAAAGAGCACATGTTTGTAAGAATTGTTCTTATTCATCCACTCGTGCTGATAAACTCAGAGAACATGTTCAGAAACATCACAGTGCTGAAGCTGTCAGAGCCAAAACTGTCCCTTCAGTTCTAAGTAACTGAACATTTCTAAGAAGGTCAAGGTGAAAGTGATGTCTGATAGAGACGAGAAGAATCAAGATAAAGCTGATTCTTATAATGAAATAGAGGTAGTGGTAATGGAGAACAATGCTGAGTATCCAGTATCTGCTTCCCAAACCTTAATGCCAACAGTTGTAAAGGGTAATGCTGTTAATGTGAGAATGCTTTCAACAGACTTGTCTCAGCAACTTGGTTCCTCAGCTGGCACATTAACTATAGCACCAACTGTAGGATCAGGGGTAAGCGGTGAGTTGAGTAAAACAAACGAGCAGGAATTGTGTGAAATGAATGTATTAAACCTAAAGGAAACTGCATTTGGTTGTCAGGTACAACCAGCTATGATTGAGACAACAGAGTAACTAGATTTCATGTCCTTTTTGAAGGAACAGGCCATCATGACTTGCAACTATCTAGAAGTAGCAGGAGATATCAGCCGGAAGAAAAAAGAGAATGAAGATGCTACTGTTTTCTCCCACACAACAACAGTTGCTGCATCATCTGACTTTTCCAGAGCTTATACTGAGCATGACCAGGCAGAGTCACGGCATGGCCTCCATCTGCTGAATGGACCACAAGGTTTCACAGCATCTGCTAGAGCTCCATCAGCTGAAGTACAGCAGTGTTTCCACTCTCCACAATCTCAAGGTCAGCATCACAAAGATCTACAAGGACCAGCAGACACTGAGCAGTCAGATTTTCCCAGTGATGACAACTATTTGTATTAGCTTGGTTAGGGGAAGTGGCAGCAGAGGTTCATCATAAAATCTGTCATAAATATTTCTTCAGAAGTGTTAAGTTTCAGTTTTATAAGCGTCTTCTTCTTTGTTCACCAGCTGTAAGCTCCGACAGGAAGTCCTGGTTGTTCATCCGTTTGGTCTTTGGCTTTGTGCCAGGGCCTGATTTTTGCGTGTACATGTTTTACTGGCTTATTTGTATGCAGCTGGTTGTTCCTTGCCACTCTGGTAGATGCACTCCGACTTTGAAGAAAGCCCATAATTAGTCCACTCCTATGACATGGTTATTGGGAAGTCAGTGGGTCTGTTCTTGTTTTCCTCAAAATGGGGCCCTGACACCCACCTGGGCAGTTTCTCAAGTAGTACCAACTCAGTTTAAGAGCCACAGTCGTGCAGCAGCTAGATGCTTACCTACTGGCCTGAACTTCTAGAGTTTAGATCTGCATTGCGGCAGATTTCTTTCTCCTCCAAAATTGACCTTGGCTTCCATGTTGACCTAACTTAAAGTGGGTACTAGGTAATGTCCTAGGAAGTAAAGGTGGTCGGCTTCATCACCTGAAAAGTTCTAATAGATCCGCACAAATTTGGGTCTAGCACTTCATGCCCGTGCACCCCAGGTGTAAAGGGGTCCTTTACTTTTAACTACCAGATTTGGCATGTTTGCGCGTGCACACACCTCATCCTTGCCTATTTTGTAAAAATGTGCTTCAAACCATAATTATCTCTGTGTGGGTTCCGGGCACCATTTTGTAGAGGAAAAAAAAATAGACCCACTACCTCCCTGTAGGCATACTGTAAAAGGCCACTAAGTAGAGATTTTCCTTCAAAGTCGGAGCGCATCTGCCTGAGAATCAAGGAACCAACAGTTTGCATTAAAACAAAAAAGCAATAAAATGGATGCGCTTGCAAAATTAAATTTCTGGAACAATGCCATAGTTCAGACGTGGACAAACAACCATAACTTTCCACCAGAGTTTACAGCCAGTGAATGCTAAAAAGAAAAAGGAACTATAATCAGGGCCATCTTAACACATAAGCCTGCTGGGTACTTGACCAGGGGCACAATGAGCATAGGGTCCCGTGCTAATCTATGTATATAATGACTTGCTTGCCATAAATATAAATAATTTGACGTTTCTATTAATTATGTGTAATCTAAAACCAAAATTCTATTTCCCTTTCTCTCTCTATGTAAGTATCTCAAGCACAACATGGCTTTTAATTAAACTTGTAAAACTTTTCTTGCACTGTACAGAAAAATAATTTTGTGCAATTTCTGTTGTCCCAAATGTTTGAAACTGCACTCAGAGTGTTCGTGTGCATGATGGTAACCAACTGTACAGGAGAACGTTCTTTTTCAAGACTAAAAAATAAAAAATGAGCTTCATAGCAAAAATGGGGCAACATGGTTTGAACTGGCTCTCACTCATGTGCATAGAAAATGACATCCTGAAGACCACTCGCTTCAAGCCAGCAGTAAAACAATTTTTTGAAAAGAAATGCCGCAAATAAGTTCATAGTAATTTGCTACTGTTTCATTTAATCTGTGTTTATTTTAACACAAGTTTTGTTAAAGTGCCAAAAAAATAAATATATATTTGATATTATTTCATTCCTGTGAGTGGTTGTTGTAGGGGCCCCAGCACACAAGTTGGCCCAGGGGCCCATAATGCTGTTAAGACAGCCCTGTCCATTTTTGAATCCAGGACTACATTAATCAGAGGTGGACATTGTAACATGTAAACCACTCCACCCCTTATATATATTGAACTCACAGAATAATAATGTCTCCTGTACATTTTTTGCTGTTCCTCAGTGTCATTAACATCACCCTGAGGTACACCACAACAATCTGCCACTGTCATTGTTCTGGCTTGGCATAAACATCTGTCCGTTATGTGTCCTATGGCACAGAAACAAAGTCCTGAATGTCCAACTGAAAATGTCCTCATTGTCAGAAATGTTCACATTCCCATTCCCATTGGTCCCACTGGATAGAGTGTGGGAACTAAAAGGGGGAGCCATGCTGGATGCATGCTCTTGCCATACTGTCTCGCAAATTTTACAGATGAAACAATGTTAAAGGTGTCAAACATGCTAAAAAATTTTACCGGTTTTTGTAACCATTGAAGACCTGCAGGCTACTGATCTCCGGATGGGCACAGTGATGATTGGAAAGCTGAGCATACGGATTTGAGGTTAAGCAGTCAAGTGCAGGATGTGATAATTTCTTGGGTGAGTCCAGGACCAAAGTGTCATGTTTCAGCTCTACATTTATGGAAGCCTCCTCAGATGGTGGGGAATGCCCATGATCTGTCCCTGCCTCCCCTGAGGATCGACCTGTTTACACGCAGATGCCCTGGACGGGTTCTCAAAGAGAACACCACACATATAAGGCCACAATGTCCCTGTCCCACGAAACTATCTAGGGTAGTTAACTCAGTCAACAAATGCTCAATGAAGTCAGATGTGCCGGCCGAAGGGCTCAAAATATTGCAGCTCTGTTGTAAACAAGTACAATGCATATATGTAACTCAGACGAAACGAAAAGAAGGAAAAAAGACTCCCTCTCACTCCTGCATGTCCCAGACAGTATACCCATGTGAGTCCCTGTAATGTTGACATGCTGACGCTCAATATCCACTCATGCCCTATTTTTCCATCTTGAATATTCGGCAGTACTGATTGAAAATCAGATTCATCAGGTAACTCTATTGTCTGCTATCTGCTTCAGAGCTGCAGTGATTGCCTCCATCTCCATCCTCATGCTTAAAGTTGTAAAAAAAAAAGCACCACTTTGTTTTACCATCTTTCCCTACACTCTAGCATAAAAAACCCCCAGTCAGGATGTCACACCCCGATGAACCATCTTTGCACACTACTGCATCATCTATAACAGCGTTTTCGCCTATTAATTGTATCTGTAATTCTGCTGTACTGTAATACCACTCTCTACATTCTCTTCATGTGATAATGACCTGCTAGAAACTGTTTTTTGTTTTCCTGTTGATCCATTCAAGCATTCTGTGTATTTGCTGAAAGTTCTATTATGTTACGTTTTCCTGTTGATCCATTCAAGCATTCTGTATATTTGCTGAAAGTTCTGTTATGTTACGTTTTCCTGTTGAGCCATTCAAGCATTCTGTAAATTTGCTGAAAGTTCTGTTATGTACGTTTTCCTGTTGATCCATTCAAGTATTCTGTGTATTTGCTCGAGGCTGCCCATCCAATGGAATCTTCACCTAGTCCCATTCATGACTCTGTTTTTTTAAATCCAGTCTCCTCAAAAAGTCGGCTCTGTGGCTAAGTCGATGTGAACGCTTCGTAATGCCGGGATGCCGGGTTCGATACCAGCTGTGGGCTATGCGCCTTGCTTTGGTTTCGACAGTGGTATCAAGAAAGCCGACCGTCCAGAAAGAAATGGCAAACTACTGGACGTAAATTTGCCTAAAAAATCCACACAACAGCCAGGGGCTGTTGGTGTTGGTTCTGCAACGTCCTGTAAGGGATACGCAACTAACCTCCTCAAAAATCTTTTTTGCCATGCAGTGGATACCTTTTGAAGCTCGTGCAAATGAGATTCTTCAGCATTCACCTTTAAAATGGTGGTTGGTATGTTGTTTTGTGATTTACGGCTAAGCTGTGATGTCTGCACCTTTTTGGCCAACAAGTCAGACTGAATCTTTAATTGGGTCGCTTTTTTATGTAATGCCTATCAAGGGAACAGTGGATCTATCCCCCTCTTCCCTTTCTTCCCCCATTAAATGGGGCCCAGGAGCCGACATGGGAAACTTCTATAATAAAACTATTTTTTTTTAAATAATAAAACTATTTAATAAAAATTGTTTAATAAAACTATTTAATAAAATGTGATTAGAAAAGAAGCACTCAAAAAATATTGTGACGACTGGAAAGACCACTAGTAGAAGAGACAGACCAAGAGAGATGTTGGTTGATAGCAAGACAGTGGCAAAGAGAAATATCATCAGTGGAACTGATCCAGAACACCAAAATACGAGATCTGTGGATGCATGAACGCCCATGCCAGCTGACAAGGCACTTGATGATAATGATTTAATAAAACTATTTAATAAAATGAAGTCTATGTAAATAGAACTATTTAGTAAAACAAATGCCAAGTCTGTTGCTGCCGTCTTTGTCTTTTACTCACATGTCACAAAGCACACTAACAATCACACTGATTAATCTTGAACTTTGAAAGATATATGTTTTAATTTTTTCATTGTCTTCTGCATAACCATTGCTACTGTAAGTTGTAAGAGAAAGAAGATGGTGATATATTATGCACATCCTGAGTAGAAACGAGCTGAGAATCATAAAACAGGTTCCCCGTGTGGGTTCCGGGACCCCATATTGGGGCAAAAATAGACCTGCTGCTTCCCTAACAAGCATGCCATAAGAGGCAGCTATATCAGGAATTTTTGCACCAAAGTCTAAGTGCACCTGCCTGAGAGACAAGGAACCAGCAGTCTGCATCTATGTAAGCTGGATCTGTAATAACACACACAAAAATGTTGTTTAAAGGATCTGCACGGACAAATAACTAAAACTTCCAGGCCAAAGTTTACAGCCGGTGAGAGCCATGAAGAAGAAGATAAAACAGGCACAATTAGTTGAGGAAATGACGTCTAAAAAAAAAAAAACCTAAGATTAACGCTGATGAGAGAGGCCAAAGGTGCTGTCCAACATGTCCACCATGATACTGAAACAACTGCATAGGATTGAACAGAATGAAGAATAAGCTGTGAGCCGTGTGCGACATGTAAAGACACAACATGATGATGATGATGAATTTTCTCTCACTACGTTGTGGAAATTTCTTATTTATACTTTGATTTTGTTTTTATATCCAAAGGCATACTAGTCATCCCTTTATTCATTATCCTCATCATCATCATCATCATCATAAACCACTTCTGCCATTAAGCATCATGGGAGGGATCATTTGGAATCCAGTGGACGATGGCTGGCACTGGCTATTTGGCTGAAGGCGTAATGTATCTTTAATGTGGATATTTTTCATGGCCATCCTTTTCTGAGATATAGTGCATGTGATGGTATTTGATGTAACAAGATGGCCAAACCACCTGATCTGCTCTTTCTCTATGAATCTAGTATAAATTGGTGTTCCCACAATCTGATAGTATAATTATTCACTCCATGTCGGATCGGTTGATGGCTTTTCTCAGGCATCTCATCTCCCGAGTGTTTTGTTTTTGTATCTGTTCTTTGTAAATAATTTCGAATGAAAACCATTAGCAAATATTCCCAGAACTGTGGCAGTTTAGCTATGCTGTTCTGTGTTACACAATACTCCTAGTAAATGGCAGACTGCAGTCTGGTTCCAGAACTTGAGTTTTGCATGCAGATTCATGTTACAGATCTGGCTTATGTGTGTGCAGACTGTTGGTTCCATGCCTCTGAGGGGGAAGAAGTCGGGCTGTAAAGAAAACACCCATAACTAGAAGCTTCTTATAAAATTATCACTAGCAGAATGGTTGGCACATTGTGTTGGTGCTTTACAACAAGGCTGCGCTATCTGCTCCAGCACATCCCTTGTTAGAAGGCAGTTCCCCCCCCCCCCCCCCACTCTCTTCCTAAACTGGGCCAATCAAACCCTGTAGGTGGGGGTGGGGGGAAGAGATCTAATGACAGTTAAACCAATCATGCAGCTGAAAATATACCGAGTTTACTGCAGTCCACGCAAAGTATGAAAATGATTATTTGTACTTTTCTGTGAAGGTGGTAAGGATTATTGTTGGGTTTTCCAGAACATTGACATGTTTTAGGTGTTCGAGATATTTATGACAGTCACCAGTAGTGAAACATTTGTATTCCCCTTTCCTCCTTCAGTAATTCTTCTACCAGCATACCAATTCACTACAAAATAATTCCCTTTCGGATTTGCACTCGAACAAAGCTTTGATTTGCTGCAAAAGCAAGTCTTTTCACTCTTTGACCCTGTATGCAGTGCTTCCCATTAGGTGGAACTCCAACTGATCCCCAGCAAATTTTAGAGCTGTGTTATATCATTTCCAAAAGCAAAAACAAACCCACAAAAATCCATGCGTCGGTTCCGGTAGCCTACTGTGGAGGAAAACAAGAATAGACCCCACTGCCTTCCCAACAAACATGTCATAGGAGTAGTGGGGCATCTTGTGAAGTCAGAGTACATCTGCCTGAGAGGCAAGGAACCAAGAATCTGCATACAAATAAGCCAGATCTGTGGAACAGATGTGCACATAACACTCAGGTTCTGGGAGATGACTAATGTCTGCAGGTAGACTAACACCCAGAAATTTCCACTGGAGTTTACAGCCTGTGAACACAAAGAAGAAGCAGAATTTAAAAAAAAAAAAAACTATTTGGATTGAAATTCTTCTTGTGATTTTAATATTTATCAATAATGAGTTCTTTAGACTGAATTTTAAAAAGTATAAGGTCCATGGCCAAAGTTAAAAAAATAAGAAGGGTCTGCAGGTATGAGCCAATCAGAACCACTGTCCTAGGCTAAATAACGAGGCTATTCAACTGAAGGTCCTGGCAAGTGACAATCCTCATTGTCAAAATGTTCACCTCTGTGTAAACTTAGTTGAACAGCTTTGGTGTAGAACATGCAGGCATGTGTAACCTCAAAAATATACTTACTGGGCTGGCCAGAACAAACATTACAGTGTATCAACTATAGAATCATTATCAAAGGTCATGAACTTTAACCCTGTTACCCAGAGAAGACCAGATCTAGTTACTTCCAGCTGTGACATAGAGTCCCGTAAATGCAAATGCAGATGTATTCGCATTTCTATAGTGACCTGTTCTGGAAAAGCATGACTGCATTCCTCTGGGTTTATTTGCACCGGATAGGAATAGAAAAGTAAAGGATCCCTTTACATGTCTTCTGTCGTATTGGGCATATAGGGCTAGATCTATTTTTTATAGGCTAATCAGCACTGGGTGGGTGATATGGTCAGCATCATGCCAGTCCCCTTTACTTCCCAGGACTTTACCCACTCAAGGTTAGGTTGACCTGACAGCCAAGGTCAGTTTTTTTCCAAGGTCAGTTTTTTATAAAGCCCTGCTCTGTCAGGACTCGAACCCACAACCTTCTGATTTGCAGGCGTATGTCTAGCTGCTACTCCCGATTATAAGAATATATTGACTAAAAAACAGTATTCAGGCAGGTTTTCAGGCATATGATGCTAGGTTCATATTTGTAGAGACTAAGCAGCCGCTTGTGGGTGATGTGGTCAACACCACATCGGCTACCAGGACATTACTGGGACCCATTTATAGCTGGGTTGAATTGGGAGCCAAATATTAGAAAACCAGATAAGATAGCCAAGGAACCTTCCTTCATATAGCAGGCCTCCGGGCGGCTGAAAAAAGGATCAAATTTGTAATTTTTGTTGGACAATTGGAATTGGGAGCCAAGGACAATTTTCCAAAGTCAACTCTAAGGAAGGGGGGGGGGGGGGGGGGGGGGGGGGGGATCAGTCTCCGGATTCGAACATAACATTTTTGGACTGACAGACAAGGAACGTCTAGCCGCTGTGCCACCACAACTCCCATAGCTAATATATCAACATCTTGTGAGATATTTTGAAAATTAATATTTATCCATAACAACAAGTGTTCAACAATCCAATCACTTATCTAACCCAAGTTTAAAAACAAGTTTATGTAAAATGAGACTTGGGAAATGAAAGGCACAAACAAACAAAGCCTGTATCAATGAAGAGAATATGAAGAACTAACTTAATGAGTGATCAGACAGCTAAAATATTACATAAAAACCCTATAATTTTGGTAGCCGAGTATGTTTTCCTGTTTTCAAATTAATGTCATCTTCTTGTTTTCTTTGTTTAGTAATGCAGACTTGAAGTGGAGAGGATAATTAGAGACTGGTGTGAATAAGATAAAGAAGACATTGGCGAGCTCCATGTGATGACAAAGAGAACAACCTGGCATCAGTTGGTTGAAAGCCTATGCTCCACTGAGGGCTAAAAGGGAAAAGAAAATACAGAAAGACACAGTCTTAAGTTAAAAAAAAAAAAAAATTTGATTCTGGGTCTTTGTTTTGTTGAATCTGCACCCTTTCACAATTACATTAATTGGTTGGCATTTTATCTTCACAGCAATCATCTCCATTCATAAATATTAACTCTTTGGGTACCAAGGAAACCATCACGCACTGACTTACAACTAACTGAATTGTCCTCTGGTACTGAAGAGCTGAATCAAACTGAGAAGAATACAGAATATAATAAACTAGTACATTGACATCAGATGGTTATCGTAGCATGACCTGGTCCCAATCAATTTGGCGAGAGAACACTTCTAAATGCAGCCAGCGCTCATAATTGTTCTTAAATTCTGGGCTCAGCTCAATGTTCTGCCCCAGCAGACTGAGAATGTTGTTGTCTACCGGCCGGAACTCTGGCTCCAAGCCACCTCCGTTGGTATAGCGGCGATTGTTAAATCTGTCTACACAAGCTCTCAAGGCACATTCTTCTGCTTGGAAGTCCCATGGCCTTGCATCCATATCTGTGAAAAAAAAGTGAAGTGTTTTTATTCAAATTTGTAGGTTAAGCTGAGTTCTCTTCTTATGATTATTTTTTAGTGTTTTTCCTTCACATTTATCAGCATTTGTGGCTTAGGCGTTGCGAACGCGCTTTGTAATCCCGGGGTGCCAGGTTTTATTCCAGCTGCGGGCTCTGGGCCTTGCGTTGGTTTCGACAGTGGTATTGAGAAGAAAAGCTGTCCAGAAAGTAATGGGAAACTACTGGACGTAAATTTGCCTAGAAAAACCACAACAGCCAAAAAATGCTGGGGTTGGTTCTGCAACGTCCTGTAAAGGATACCCAACTAACTCTAACTCTTCACATTCTCTTTTACCACTTCAGGTGTTGAGGGAGATGTACAGTTCTGCTTAATGCTCTTCTGGCGCTTCCTTGACCATAGACATGTCGTGAATTATGTCTAACAAGCTAGAGCTAGCAATACCAAAGAAATGATCAAAAGCCTTGGGACAACAGCCAAAACAAAGCTGTTACAGATCTTTAATCATTGTTGGACCGGTGGCAAAGCTCCCTGATATCACTCCTAAAACCAGAAAGGGGAACTCCAAGCTGCCTCTGTAAAACAATGAAACGCATATCAACCTTAGACTTCAATGGTACATGGAAAGTGAAAACATCTTCACTTAGCTGCAGGCAGGTTTTAGATAGTGCTACTCCACAGAAGATCAGACAACTTACCTTTCGCAAGAAATTGAGGATACCTTCCAAGAAAAGCTGGTACCTGCGGCATGGATAGACCTGAGGAAGCTTTTGACAAGGTAGGGAAAGAAGATCTCAGAAAGAAATTGAGAAACTACTAAATGAATGGAAATATGTACAGATGAATGGAAGCATACTTATATAACAGAAGAGCCAGGGTAGAGGTAGACGTAATTAAAAGCAAGAAAGTCTTGCTGCACCATGGTGTCCTGTCCGCAACACACTCTCTAGTCTATATCAACAACCTAGTTGCTGAAATATGCCATGAAATTAAAGCTGTTATAAATGCTGACAACTTGGTACTCTGGTGCATAAAATGAATATGCAACATTGGCCACTAGACTGCTACAAAGAGCCATAGATGCAATCAATGGCTGTATGGGCTGATAAATTGTGTGTCAGCATCAACATAGGCAAATGCAGCGCCACCCTCTTCACACTCTCGCCAAAACAAAAATCAGGCATCATTCACATAAATGGAATACCAATTAGAGAGGGTTAGAAGTTCAAATATCTCAGAGTCATGTTTGATGACATTTTAACATGCAGAAAGCACATCAACAAGGCAGCAACAAAAGCCAGAATAAGGGTAGCTACCCTGAGAAAACTAAGTGGAACGGCACTAGTGGGGAAAATACTTGAGAAAAATTATCAACAAAGTGTTTGATCACACCTTCAATATGAATCAACAGCATGGAGTTCAGCGCACACACACACAAACCAAACTACTAGAGTTACACAAAGTGCAAAAAAAGCAGCACTCAAGAGTCACAACACGCAGTATGAAATCAACACCTGTAGCTGAGATGGAGAAGATGGTGATGACCCAAGCACTGACAGAACGAAGAGACACCATGATACTAATACAAGCAGAAAAGTTTCTTAGTACACTTGAAAGAAGTATTCCAATATCCAGCAATGGGGCGATTAAAAAAGAAGCAGTTTCATCCACCAGGCTAAATGGCTCTGCAGACAAATCACTTATTTGCCTGCAACTGATAGTCCCCTAAACAATTTTCCAGGACGGACCCTGGAAAGAGAAATATATATTTCCAATACACATCCAGACAGAAGTGAAAGGAGTATTTGACAAGGTAGAACAAAACATCTTTGCTCTACTTGATGATGAACACCCACAGGATCTTCGGGTACCACTGTCGAAACCAACGCAAAGCATATGGCCCGCAGCTGGGATCGAACCCGGTACTCCGGCGTACGAAGCATTTGCATCGACTTAGCCACAGAGCCGACAAAAGGGAACATAAACAAGCTGAGAAACTAGCTGGCAGAGGGGCTGTGTAAAACAGATGAGAAACAGACCACTCCAGTATACTGACTGTCCTTAGTGCCATAATGATTACAGGAATCAAGACACAGCTGTGAATCAGTCAAAATAAATGAAATCAGACAATGGTGTTGTTCAGGGAGTTAAAGAAGAATTAGTAAACAAACACTGAATGGTGTTGTAAGTTGCTGAACATTGAGGAATATTCCGTGGAAGGGAATATATAATCCTAAACATATCTAGAAGAGGCAGGGTCAGAAATGATTTCAAGAAATAAGTTGGGACCAAATTAGTACTAAACTTCTACATCAAGAGACAATAGGTCAAATGGTTTGGACATGTGTCAAGACTACCACCAGACAGGGCATCACTGAGAGCACTGTCATTCAGACATACCAGAAACATTCCAGAGGTCAACCACAGAAACCATGGATGGAACATCTAAGAATGTGAATACTAGTAACTATGTAGCCCATTCCAAAGCTGGCACCTGATCCCTAGTCTAAACCTGATGCTGAAAGGCAAAACAGGAAAAGAGAAGAAGAAGGGATCTTACTGACTGATCGGTTTGATGTGCAGTAAAGATGATCTGTAAAACACCAATTAATTCTAAATAATTTAACCCAGTGGGCCCATTTCTCTTTCTCTCTCTTGCTCTCTCTCTCTCTCTCTCACTCACTCTCTCTCAAAATAGAGACAGGGAGCCGCACACAGGTGGTGTAGCTATGTTTTTTCTAAAATAAAGCAGTCAGCTATATCACAGATCACTTCTGTATGACCTACCATTTCCATATGCCCAATCATCTCCCAGACGGTGCCTGACTTTCTGGTAAATGGCTGACATGGTCTTCATGTTTGACTTGCGCCACTGCCGGCCTAGGTATTTTGTTTGCATCTTTAGCAGCTTCAGGATGTACAGCTGCATCATGGGATGCCTCACCTTTAGAGCTCTTTTTAAAATAGGAGCTGACTTGAAAACCACCAACATCTGAAGAGAAGGAATGCATGTATCTGGCTACAAAATTACAGACAAATAAGGACATAATATAAATTGTATTGTATTAAATATCAACAAGTACACACACAAAGCAGCTGATAAATGTGCTACTTGTACAACCTTTGTGCTATCAATGCCAGACATAAATAATATAAATATAAATGCAACATTACAACATGTGAGATGAGATGTGCAAGAAATGTGGCAGGAAAAACACGAAGAGACAAAGTCACTAGCAAAGAACTAAGAAAAACGGTTAGGTACAGTATCGGTAAGTGATTAAACAGAACATCAAAAAACCAAATGGATTGGACACCTGGTCAGAATGGAGCAAAACCAGCCAGCAGCTACAGCCTACAACATGAGAACAGCAAGTGACAACTCAAGAGGCCGACCGAAAATGACCTACGTTGACGGAGTAAAAGAGACACCACAGAAACGCAGTTTAAAGTTTGAACAACGGATCAACATCATGGCACACCGGTAGTAACCCATAAGTGCTCCTTCTTCTAACTGAAGTAACATCATCCAAAGCGGGCAGGGGCAGAACATCTGTTTTTCCTATAATCCAAAGGGGCAGAACATCTGTATTTCCCAACATCCAAGGAGGCAGAACATCTGTATTTCCCGACAATCAAGGAGGCTTCCATAAATGCATGCCCAATATATATTGTTCAGATACTGGTCTTAGCCAAGGAATCATCACATCCTTCTGTTTACTGAGCCTCTTATTCATCACACCTATGCCTTCATAAGCCAACAGGAGGCAGCCTACAGACCTAAGATTTCAATTACTTACACAGAATGACTACTTTGCTTCTTAGTAAATTTGAGCATAATTTTATACAATTATTAATCAATATTTATTTATATCAAGCCCTCATTTGGACACCACAGGGGAAAAGATCTCGTGGAAGACCAAGGGAAACCCTACGTAGAACTATCATCAGGGAAGGCTCGCTCATGGGCCACTCAAACATCCAAGACCTACAACGGATTGCAACGGACCGCCGTGCATGGAGAGTCATGACCTCTGCCCTATGTGCCGCACTCGACACAAGAGGAAAGACTAACTAACTAATTTATTTATATCCAATGTTTTTTGATATAATCAAGTAGAATAATATGCCGGGAAAATATATGAGAATAAATTAAATAACTATAAATTATTAATATGGTTACCATTGTTCGTGAGTGTTTCCACTTGGTGAGCTTGTTCAAAATTCGCAACAAGTTTATACAAGAGAAAATATTTCTCCAACAGTGCGGCTGGCTATCTCCACTTTCCTGCAGCAAGAGAGGTTCAAATGAAAACAATAACCAACACAGAAATAATCAAATAAAGACACATAAACACAATGTGAGGGCATGGTTTCTCTTTATACTATATGCATTACCAGTTGAACAGAAGCTATTACTTTATCCTGCATAGAAAGCAAATAACTTGTGTTCTTTCTTTCTTTTGCCCTTTGTCCGCTATTAGAGCAGGCCTTCAACCACCTCACTCCAGGCCAGCCTATCCTTGGTTATCTCCTGCATCTCTAAAGTTTTCATGGTGTCTCTAAATTCTAGTTCTTTTCTCCATATATTTTTTAAGTGCCCCTCTCTCTTTTTTACTGCATTCTGAAAATTATCCTGCACCCATTTTACAAGACTGCATGTCTCCAAGAGCCTCCGAAAATTGCTGTGGAAACTGAACTGAGGACAATCATGATAATAGGCCACTGCCTAAAACTGGTACCAGGTAACTATATTATATGTCAAATGTGCCTAAAGCATCTTCTTCTTTGCATTCACTAGCTGTAAACTCCAGCGGAAAGCTCTGGTTGTTCATCCACCTCTGGACTTTGGTCGTATTCCAGAATATGAGTGTTGCTTGCATATCTGTTTCACAGATTTAACTATGTTTATGCAGATTGTTGGTTCCCTGCCTATCAGGCAGATACACTCCCATTTCGAAGGAAGCCCCCAGTTAGTTGACTCTTACGACATGCCTGTTGGGGAGGTAGTGGGTCTATTCTTGTTGTCCCCACAATGTTGCCCCAGATCCTCATACAGGGATGCCTCAGTAATAAAGACAAGGGTTCTTTACTTATTTACATCAAATAAACAGCAACCAATGATATTCTACATAAACACACACCATCTAATCAAACATGCACTACCGTTTTTCCTAAGCAGTAACAGATGATTTCATCACACAAACACAGTGTGTTTAATCGATGAACAGTCAAGCAAACAGAATGTTTCAAAACAATTTCATTCATTCAGTAGCATGTCCCTCGCGGAACCTCGCTGCCATAACAACCTTCCGGAAAACCTTCCTATCCTGAGCAAGATGTCCTGCGTCTGATACACCCATCTGGAGATCATCTACCACATCCTGCACCCATCTTCTCCTTGGCCTTCCTCTTCCTCTCTTCCCAGGCATATAACCTTCCATTATTGTTCTCTCTAGACTTAGTTTTCTTTCATGATTGTTATGGATTCTTGGCAAAATTTGCAGAAGGTAGTTTGCCGTTGCTTTCCTCCTGAGCAGTGACTATACTAGTCGGTGGCCATAGCCATTGTCTCTACTGATGAGATCATCTGCCTATCGCCGCAGAGTGCAGACCATAACCAACAATACCTGTCGGCTGCTCTTACACTCCATCCACCACCTGCTTCCATGGCTTCACGTAACCCTGATTGGGGGGCTAAACGGGTACTCCACCTTGCCCAAGGGTGTCCCGTAGACTAGCGGAGGAAAGGAGGCGTCTTACTTCTCCTTTGATACGGGATACCCCTACCCCGCTAACCGCAATTTAGGTGGTATAAATACATAAACTTACAATGTTTTCGGCAGTAAGTTCTGGCTGGTCGCTCAATACATTTTCCGGAAAGTCCAAAGCTGGAATACTGAAGATGTGAAAACAAAACACCTGTTGTTTTTCTGTTTTTTTTTTACAGTAATGATGAGAAATTGTATTTTTCAATTCATTTTCTCTCTCATTTTCATGTATTTACAAACATAGGTCAAAAAGTCAAATATGGCAGTCAAAATATTTATACTTTAGTATCAAGGCCTCAAGACACATAACCGGATTAGTGATTTAAGAAGTGACATCTTAGCACACCAGGCATACACATAGATGCTCCGTCTCACACAACAAATGTCTTAACATGTAGACGCTAAAAGTTCCCATAGCACACACATTGTTCTCTTCCACTCATAAGTCCCCTTTAGCCAGATCCACTCCTCTACTAGTGGAGATGCATCTTTGTGAGATGCAATTTTTTTTTATTTTGAAGCCCCACCCTGGCTCTTGCCAGGGGCCGCAATATAGACCGTCCATAAATATGGTCTAATGGCTGAATGTGGTTTCCGGTCCCTCTCTACCGGTGATCCTTATCTGCATGGTGGCACTTTGTGTCACTGGGTGTTTATCGCTTGTGTGATGTCCTGATGGGGTAAAATGTACTACTAATAGTACAGATCTGCTCCTAATTTCACATCGGCACATTTTTCTACGTTATTTTTATCTAAGTTTGTGTTTTCGCATACCTGGCTATTGCTATGATGAGCTTTAGTCCTTATCTGTATATTCTCCCTTCTAAATAGGACAGGCACTGCCCCCCCCCCCTTTCTATTGCCCTGACTGTAGTACTTCTCTATCTGAGCTCAAAGCATAACCTTTCTTGCAAAAGTTACTGTCTTTGCCTTTGTTGTTGTTGTTATTGTTGTTGTTGTTGTTGTTAGTAAACATGAAAGTTTCACCTTCTGCTCTAGGTTTTAGTTTTATGACCCTAGAAATGCACTCAATATCCATCCACAGTAACCAGTCTATGAAATACAATTACTTTTTAACTGGAGACACGATTCCAGGTTCAGATCGAAGAGCTTCACAATCAAGAAAGCAAAGAAGAGATGGAAGAAGTGCAACACATTAAGGAGTGACTAGAAAGTTCTTTCTCACTGGAACCTCAGGGTAAAAGAAACAAAATCACATGTTGAATAGAATCTGAGACAGGGAAGAAAAGAACAGAAAAGACATGAAGGAATCTGTAGAAGAGAGCAAAGAATTAGAGGTCTTGATATTCAGCTGACTGAGACCCCCGTGTGGGTTCCGAATGGACCTACTGCCTCCCCAAAAGCATGTTGTAAGAGTCGACTAATTGGGGAGCTTCCTTTGAAGTCGGAGTGCATCTGCCGGAGAGGCAAGGAACCAACAGTCTGTATTCAAGAGAATGAGATCTGTAAAACTGATGCACACGCAACACTCAGGTTCTGGAGCAGGACTGCAGTTCAGTAGCGGAGCAACCAGAACTTTCTGCCAGAGTGTACAGCTGGTGAAGGTGAAGAAGAAGAAGAAGCTGACTGAGAGTTTGTGCTTCACAAATGGCTAAAAGACCAGCAGAATGTACCATACTGTTCTGTGTATGTTTTCTCAAATTTCTTGTTTAAAATTGGAGGGCATCTTATACATGGAATGTGTTTAAAAAAATATTAATTTTTTAATTTTGGGCTTTACAAATATACAGTTCGACTTACACAGAGAGACATCTTACACAGGAGAAAATAAGGCAAATTAGAAAAGGTGGAGTTGGTGAATTGGTGATGACAAGAAATTAAGGTAAATTAACCATTTTCTTGTTTACATACCTGTTTTTGGCATTCACATAAGCAACAATGTCCTGGTTGAAGAACTTGAGTACCAATGGAATGCAATTGGCAAACACCAAGTGTTGGCTAGTGAACTCAAACTGTAGAATAACAAGGCAAGTAATCAGTCCTTATATTCTCCCATTCCTCTTAGAACAAATAATATCTCTCTTCTCTTTGAATTTGAGAAAAAAAGAAATGACAACACCTACTTTCTCTGTGTGCTACTTGTTATTTGTTAACCGAATCAATATCCTACCAGTCATCCTCTGATGTAGCAGCCATCTCAGTGTCTCCTTGCCCATGTTCTCAACAGCAGCTGATTAGCATATCTTCCTTCTTTGCTCCACAACTGGTTTCTCAATATGCATCCAAATGTAAGCACAAGTGGGTACATAAGTGTGCACATGTAAGCACAAGTGTGTACATTAGTGTGCACATGTAAGCACAAGTGGGTACATTAGTGTGCAAATGTAAGCACAAGTGGGTATATTAAAATGTAAAAAAAGCTATTACATATCCTTTACAGGATTTCACAAATTAACCCCAGCATTTGTTACACATTGTTTTGGTTTTACTAGGCAAGGTAATTAAATATTCACTAGCTTTACACTACTTTGTAAATGGTACGCATTCACACTGTTGTCAAAATCAAGCCAAATCACCTGCAGCTGATTTAGAACCTAGGTATATCGGGACTGGGAAATTGCATTCACAACCACTAAAACACGGACACGAACATGTGTATGTAAATAAGTAAATTAAAAATAAACAAACTCCTCATCCCCCAATCTTCTCCCTCCCATTCACACACACACACACTCAAAAGGAGAATCTAATGAATCAGAATAAGTAGATAACAAGGACTGACTGCAAATGAAGTAGAGACTTAGATTTTCTTTCAATAGAAATCTGTGGCACACCTGGTAAATATGGTTTAACTTGAAATGTTTCAGCAACAGCAAAAGTAGCCCTGATATTGCCTTCACGATGATCTCCTTATGTCTGTTGACGTCTATTCCAAGCTTCATGGACTGAAGGACTGTGGTTCTAAAACAACATAGTAATAGTAACAATATTAACATTAACTGTGTCACATATATATGACAAAGCATGAGCTTTCAGATGACATCTAATACAAAAAGTTGTGATAAACAAGTGAAGAAAGGAACAATGACACCAAAAAAGAAGTTTCCACACATACAAATGTGTGCACTTGTAACTGTAATGCATATGTTGTGTGTGTAAAAAAAAAAAAAAAGGCAATTTTTAACACCATCAAGGATATTGAACATACAAGACTAAGCCTGTATTTTATAGATCAATTAACACTGGGTGGGTGATGTGTTCAGCATCCCACCAACTGCCTTTACTCACCCATTTAAGGCTGGGTCAACCTGGGAGCCAAAGATACTTTTTTTTTAAAGTGCAGCACCATCAAGATGTGAACCCACGCCCTTCGAATCCACAGGCAAGAATCTATCTGCTATAACATGGCTGCTTCCACATTTGTGTATAAATGAGAATCATTTGCTAGGTACAAGTAAGCTCAGGTGATCAAGGTTTAATGGTTCATACAATTCCAAAATCTTAGATTAGGTCCAAGTCATTTTTCCTGTAATAAACTATATACGTATATATCTCAGGGTCTTTCCTAAAAGTGAATCTGCCTGACGGGCGGGGAGGAAAAACAGTCTGCACACACAAAAACTGGATCTGCAAAATGGATGTGTAAGCAAAAGTCAAGTTCTAGAACCATACCTCCTCCTTCTTCTTCTTTGTTCAAAAGCTGTAAGCTCTGGCAGAAAGTCCTGGTTGTCTGTTGGACGTTTGGCTTTGTCCCAGGGCCTGAGTCTTGTGTGTACATCTGTTTTATTGGCTTATTAGTGTGCAGTTAGTTGTTCTTTGCAGCTGGGGCATTCAAACTTCAAAGGAAGCCCCCAATTAGTCGACTCCTACGACATGCTTGCTGGGAAGGCAATGGGTCTATTCTTGTTTTCCCCCACAATGATGCTCCCTGAATTGACATGGGGCAGAACAAGACCATGGTCCATGAGCAGATGAACAACCATAATATTTTGCTAGAGTTTACAGCCGCTGAACAAGAAGAATAACAGACGGTCTTCATTTTGTCACTAATGCATCATGTCTGCCATTACTGTCATAGTCTGTTTTTTCTTATTTGCCCAAAAAATTTCTCAACAAAACTACTATTTCTTTAGCAAGCTAAGGTCATGTGTTTAATCCACCATGAACCACAAAATGGGATGTCAGCGCGAAGTCTCTTAGGCTCCAAAAAGCTTATCTGTCAGGTCGACTGGGTAGGGCAACATGTTTTTTCACAGCTTCCCAGGACAGCATAAAGATACTGTCAAAGAGCTGTTTGGCTCATACATCAGAACAATAAGAAAACATGATAACAATATAATTAAAAAGTCCTTGTTTGGGAACCTGGCAAACCAAACAACACATGTTGAAGAGACTTAGATAATGAGGAGAAAAGATAGGGGAAGACGTAAGGTAAACTGCACATGAAAGCAAAGGGTAGGATAACTCTGCATCAGTTAGTTGAGGGCCTATGCTCTATGAGGGACTAAACGGCACAGGAAGAAGACAGCTACTACTCTTCACAATAGAGAAACACAAAAGAAAACTTACGGCATCTCATCGGGCAGTACATCAGACAAGATGTTGATTGATTCTGTTTTAGTTTTGGAGGTGGGTGCTGCTGCCAACAACAGCTTCAGTAGAGCAATCTGAAATGTAAGAACATTGATCATAAAATAACATTATGAAATACTGTCACTTAACAACAGCATACACTTATGACTAAAATGTCACTATTGTCTGTATTTACCGCTTTTTAGGGTGGTAGACAAGGAGTGGGGTTAAGCCAGAGGAATTAGGACTGCAAATATAGTGTCACAAGATTGATCCTCTCGTTTTTTTAAAGTGAATCCTTTATATATACTGTGTCCAAAAGATTATTCTTCTGTAATGCAGACTTGTGCCAAAGTAATAAATCTTCTATAAAGTAGTCTCGAGCTAAAATATATAATCTTCTGTTATGTCGTTGACTTGTGCCCAAAAGGCTAGACATCTAGAATGTTGACTTGTGTCCAAAAGGCTAGGCATCTAGAATGTTGACTAAAGTCCAAAAGGCATCTATAATGTTGACTAACGCCCCAAAGGTATCTATAATGTTGACTAGTGCCCAAAAAGCTAGACATCTGTAATGCTGACTTTTGTCCAAAAAGCTAGACATTTATTATGCTGATGTGTGTTTAAAAGGTTAAACATCTATAATGTAGACGTGCCTAAAAGCTTGACATCTATAATGTTGACTTGTGTCCAAAAGGCTAGACATCTAAAATGTTGAATTGTGTCTTAAAGACTAGAAATCTATAATGTTGACTATTGCCCAAAAGACTAGACATCTATAATGTTGACTTGTGTCCAAAAAGCTAGACATCTAGTACATTGACTTGTGTCCAAAAGGCTAGAAGTCTATAATTTTGACTAGTGCCTAAAAAGCTAGACATCTATGAAGTTGACTTGCACCCAAAAGGCTAGACATCTATAATGTTGAATAGTGTCCAAAAGGCTAAACATCTGTAATGTTGACTTGTGCCTAAAAGGCTAGACATCTATAATGTTGACTTGCACCCAAAAGGCTAGACATCTATAATGTTGAATAGTGTCCAAAAGGCTAAACATCTGTAATGTTCACTTGTGCCTAAAAGGCTAGACATCTATAATGTTGACTTGCACCCAAAAGGCTAGACCACCACAATGTTGCCTTGCATCCAAAAGGCTAGACATCTGTAATCAAGACTTCTGCCCAACTAGTTTATGTTCTGTAATGTAGAAATTCACAAACACTAATCATCTGTAATCTACATTTGTGCCCAGAAAGATAGTATTTCAAGACAAATCTTTACAATAAAAAGCATTTCACCTGGGACTATTTTAGGACAAACTTTCACAAATAAAAAAAAAAATATATTTCTTTTGGGATGGTGTTAGATAATGCTGAACCTGAGAATTAATTCAATAGGAAACAACACATGAATCAAAGTCAACAAATACAGTGCTTACCATGTACTGTGGTAAATTAGGCAGCATGGCACTATAGAGTTTTTCAGCTGGTGTATTCTCAACATCCGCCTCGGGCTGGAAAAACAAAATGCATAAAATACATTCAAGCAACAAGGTGATCAGAAAAACAACAACAATGTCTAAAAAAAAAAAAATAGATATGAGTTCAATTCGTGCACTTTTACAATTAAAATGGTTGTAAGTTTTTATTGTTTATTTCAGTTTATGTCCTAGTTTTTTTTTTCTCTGATTAAACTCCATCATCATGTCTGTGCCACTCAGCATAGGAAGTCCTGTTTTTCCACCTCATTTGATCACCAGAATCAAGGATCAGGTCAGTGATCTTGTCTTGATCTATCCATTTTGCCAAGCAAAATTTCTCTCGTCTACACTTAGCTCATTCTACGAATTCTTCCCAAGTTCTCGAGTCCACTCCTTCTCATAACTGCAGCACATAATATTAATCAAATCTGTTATAATATGCAATAAAAATTTATCTTGCTTGATCAGTCACAATGTAATATTCACACAATCGCAGATTGTGGAGAGGCATGATAACCCATGCCAGTCGGCAAGGCACCTGATGATGATGATGATGATGATTCTGGAGGAAAACATACCTAATTAGTAGCCTTTTATGACATGCTTGTTAGAGAGGTAGTGGGTCAATTATGTGTACTTCAATATGAGGCCCTGGAATCCACACAGTGAGGCCCTTAACCACCAACTAATGTAAAGATATCAAATCTTCTGCTATCTCTTACAATTCTATGACCTTCCCATATTATTTATACCTGTTTCAAATCCAGAGCCAGTTTTGTTTGGGATTACATCCACAAATGTCAAATACACAGGACACACTGCACTAACTTCTTACCAGGGATAAAGGATTCTTGGCAATCTCCTCCTCCCGTTTGATTTGAATTTCAGACAGAGATATGTACAGGTGCTGAAAAAAAAACCCACAGAATGAACATACAAGAAACATTAAAGACAATGATGTGCTGCCAGAAGGACATTTGCCATGGCTGGTACATTGTGTACCAATGTGTCATATAGTAGGACGCTCGATGGAGGGACAACTGAACCTAAGCAACCACAGAGTAGGAGTCCCAGTCTCAGTCGACAGAAGTTAAAGCCAAGGTTTATCATACATTCAGATTTTCATGTGTTAACAGACATCTGAACCTGAAATTGTCATTTAGTAGGGTACTCGGGCAATGGATTCCCTCAAGTTCCAAGTGAGTTTCTATGGTACATTATCACCTATGCGTATGAGAAGGGGTGATAAGTGCCAAAGAATTTCTGGGCACCAGCTTGAGATCCCCTGCCGCGTAGCATATTACAAGGACATGTGGCAGAGGTCTTGCATAAAGATCTGTAAAAATCAGCACAGAACTGCCGAGATGAGGTATGGAGTATCTCCTCACAAACATACAAACACACAACAGTCTTTATCTTCTCTAACACCTGTGACTAAAATCGCAGCGCCACAGATTTTTTGTTTTACATTTTTTTCATTTATGGATTTGAGATGTTGCAATCCTGTACTTTGCTTTTCTATTTTACAGACCATTAACATTGCCATGGTTGAATGCCATCTGATCAGTCCAATTCCTATTTAACTGTTTTCTGTGTAGGGAAAATAAATCCATGCAAACTTGCTAGGTCTGTCGCACCTTCACCAGAGCCCTGTTGGCCAGGACCTTTCAGGGTGACCCCAGGATGGCTTCCATGACTACCGTATGAGCCTGTGGCACACGGAAACATCATACTTCACCCAATACCAGCAATTCCGTACTTGTTTCCACTTTTACAACATGGACGTGGAGTGGGCTTTGAGAAGCCACCAACAAGTCAACATACATAAAAATAAACAATGCCAGTTTGAAGAATTTTACTAATGATAAGGTGGTTGACCAAATCTAAAATGAGTTGAAGGTGATGCAACATCAAAGTGAATGTAACTTGGTCTGAAGCTGAAGTAAGTTAATGTGATCAAGTATTTGAGTACACTGACAACAACAGGCACAAGTTGTACTGAAGTGTTAAAACCTAGACAACCCATTTAAAGCAGCCTTTCGCAGAACAAATGACAATCTAAACAAAAAGTCTTTGTCCACTGAGGTGAGAAACAAAGTACTTCTAAGCTATTTACAGCCAATCTTGATGTATGGAAATTAATCATGGACAACCAGCAGATTAGTAAGAAATTATTCTGGAATCTGCTGTGATGTGGTTTTATAAAGGAATGATGACTATCAAATAAAAAGTGCAAATGACATCAAAAGAAATTAACTCCCAAGGAGAAGTAGCTATCTTCATTAGAGGAAGTCAACCCACATTTGTTGGTACACTAAGAGAAGGGGAAACTAAAGTAAAACATATTATGAAGAAAGCATTTAATCTCAATTGAAACTGAACTATGTGTACCTTTACCTGTTTCAGTACTTTGACACCTTCGTGAATGGGCTGTGGCAGACCAGCTAATGAGTTGTGATCATTCCTCACCTCAAATCCAACAAACTTTTGCCGTGTGTGGTCAAGAAAGTTCTCCAAGTCTTTCTGCCTGCAGACAATGTGTGTATATACTGAATAAACTTATTTACATATCCTCTGACCTGTACCAATCCCAATTTTCAAAATGTTGACCCGTGAGTAAACATGAAAAAGCCTTGTTCTAGGCCCACTGAGGTGGGTTGGTCAGTTCTCATTATCACCATCTTCCTTCCTAAACGTCCAGAAAATTATGAAAATCATCCAGTACCTTTTCTCTGATGCCGAGTCAATTGACAGGGTTGCAATTAAGAAAAAAAAAGAAGAAAAACAAACCTTTCCCACAGCGCGAGATTGAACCCAGGCCACTGCCTTGGTAAGCAAGTGCCCCAACCACTATGCTGTCACTAATAAATTATTATTAAATTCATCATCATCCTGTTGTGCATAAGGTCACATAAGGAACATTATATCTAGGTCTTGATAGTATTAAGGCATACAGGTTTTCCAGTCAACTAATACAAATGCACTATCAGATAATTAGATGTTATTTTTTTATCATTATACTTGTGTGCTCCTACCTCTGTTTTACATATCTGACTTATCCGAATACAGATTGTAGGCTCCTAGCCTCTCAGGCATATGTACTTTGACTTCGGAGGAAGCCTCCAATTAGCTGACTCTTACAATATGCTAAAATGGGACCCCAAAACCCACATGGAGAGATTTAAAACTACTATCAAAGTAATACAGTTAAAAGTTTAACTTCATTGCATCAGATTTATATATGGCTCTGTCTCTCTACAGATTGGCTGGCCACCTGCCAATAGCGTCACGCACAGCACAAACTCTGTAGTTCCAGCGGCAATCTCTGGGGATCTCTATACAAACTGCAACCATGAACAGAGTGACACGTCTGTGAAATTAACTGCCACCTTCAGAGCGTGAGGTAAACAAGTGACCACTTAGCCACAGAGACACCTGAACCCTGCTATAGTATTAGAGGTTCCTCCTTTCTGTGACCAAACTAATGAAACATTGATAAAGATTTATGATCTTCAAAATATAAGCTAAACTGACAATACTCACCGAACTTTTGGCTTCCATGGCAGACTACGATGAGAAACTGTAGGGGTGGCAGGGCGGGGAGGAGTAGGCGATAACTCATCATCACTGCTGGACTTCAAACCATCCATCAGGTCATCGTCTTCATCCCTGGCAAGACCTGCCTCAAACGAGTCGTCCAGGCTGCTCTGTTTGACCAAACTCTGAGATCAGTGTGGGTCCAAGGAAGAAATCAGGCCAAGGAGAGGAAATGCCAAGGACAGGGGTCCAACCAGCCCAGTCAGCAAACCACGCAAGGCAAGCAAGCGACAGAAGGAGGGGAAAACAAGAGAAAAGACAAGGAAGGTATGTTATATACTTCAGGCTCAAGTTTTAACTGGCAATTCTTCTAATTTAGTTTTGTTAAGCAGGATGTTTAATGAAAGTTAACTAAACTGTTTTAGGGCATTCGTAAAGTCCTTCTTCAGTTGTGAAAAATTAACTAAATTTAGACAAATAAGTGATGAAATTAACAAATAAACATAATTTAAATGGTAACATTTTTTTGTTTAATTATTTTAATGAAGGAAAATCTTCTGTCATTGCTCTTGAAAGGGTGTGCTGTAGTTTTCAGCTAGACTGTGATATCAGTACCTTTCGGCCCAAAACATCTAATTTCAACAAACCCCTCATTATTCAGGTTTTATGTCATGCATTTGGGGAAATGAAAGGGGGATGCAATAGGTCGTCTATAAAAATTGGGGTGCCAAAACCCACTTGGGGAGGAAATTTAGAAAATATGTTAAATTTAATAAATGTAGATTTAAAAAAGTGTCTAAATAACACATAATAAACATCATTTAAAAGACGAATATTTGAATTTTTAGAAGACAGTAATCACTTCAACCATGTAGAACAGATATGAGAGGATAATCGAAATTGCCAAAGTTGTATTTCACAATCTACAATATATTATAATGAACAAACAACTAGATTACTCAAATCTGACAGTCTTCAAGAGCTATATTTTACATACTGTAAATTATTATATGATTTGGAGTCATGAACTATGAACAAGCAGTCAGAGGAAAGAGTAAACACCATGAAATTAGAGATAAGGAAATATAGGGTGAATATAACTAACATAAATGGTAAATTAAGAACTTCAGAACAATTTAGATCGTCAAATCAGAATATATCACAACCAGGTCTGCAGACAAGTACGACTGATTTTGTACCACCACAAATGTTCAAGTAGACGATAGTCTAATATGGGAAGATGAACTTGAAAGACGATGCTGCAATTTTCCCTCACAGTAAGAGACAGAAGGGCTGGAATCTATAACGAATGTCCACTGTTGACATGAGTGCAACATAACTGAACAAATCTAGCTGGAAAGCAGAAATGTTTCCCCCAGTTATATTCAATAATCAAAACTGAGAACAACAGAAGTCAACTGTGTGGTTTACAAGCTCAAATCCATAAGCTCAGTTTGAATAAAGTTCACAGTTTAATTGGGCAGGTGGATTCATATAAACATTCAGCCATTCAGCCTTCAAATGATGTTTATTGTACAATACCAAAAAAAAGTCACTGTTTCAGACTGCACAAGGACTTTACGCCAATCCTGTTTACGACAATAAATTAATGGTAGCAGGTATTAACACAGTTTGTTTAATATGATCACAATGCACTCACAAGTCATTATAATGCTGACCACATTTGTTAGTTACCATACATTACTAAAATATATCATGCACATTTACACTGGTTACTCCGACTTCTCCTTCAAATTCACCAGCGGTAAACTCTGGCTGGTTCTGGACTTCGGTCTTATTCCAGAACTTTAGTTTTGTGTGCACATCTGTTTTGCTTCTTCTTCACATTCACCGGCTGCAACTCCAGTGGAAAATTCTGGTTATTCGTCCAACTCTGGACCTCAGTCTTGTTCCAAAACCTGAGTGTTGTATGTACATCTGTTTTACATATCTGACTTATTTGTATGCAAATTATTGGTTCCTTGCCTCTTGGGCAGATGCACTCCGACTTCTAAGGAAGCCCCCTGTTAGTTGATTCTTACGACATGCTTGCTGGGGAGGCAGTGGGTCTATTCTTGTTTCCCCAGCAATGGGCACCAGAACCTACATGTGGAATATACGTTTTACAGATCTAGCTTATTTGTTTGAGACTGTTGATTCCTCACCTCTCAGGTAGATGCATTCCGACTTCGAAGAAAATCAAAATATATCAGGCAATATATTGTGTTATATATTGTCTGTGCCCTCATTATTAAAATTCATAAACAGAAAACACTGTTTTGAATATCAGTTTATTGCTCTCTTGTGGCTATAGATCCACACACATCCAATAACACAGCCTGAACAAATGTTTAAAACAAACATGCATCTCTCTTCATTTACAAACAATGATGTATAAACAAAGCAAATAAAATAAGAGTGCCACATGCAATAATCATAAATACAATGAAAGCAACAGCAACAAAAACCACTAGCCTTACATATGCACGCACAAAAAACAATAGCATATGATGCAGAGCTACAAAATACCAATACATAGCAGAAACTTTATTAAAATACGAGCTGCCATGCCAAAATCAAGCAAGGGTTCACATGCTGCAAGTTAACGAAAAAGAGCATTCAACAACATTCAACGAAAAAGAAAGATGAATATAACTGACTGTAGAGGCTGGTGGACCTGGAAAACTTTGGGGTAGATAGGAGGGAATCAGAACAGATAGTAACATATTTTATATGCAATAATTACTGTCTCAAATGACAGGTTTGATCAATATTGTACCTTCAAAAGTGTCCCTACCCATTTTCCTTGTCCTAGCTATACCACCCTAAAAACTGGTAAACACAGGCAATAAGAAAAACATTTGTTAGCTCCTTCAGATTTAGTGATTAGGTTTAGGTTCAGACGATGAATCAACATCATGGCACAAGGGTTGTAACCCATAAGTGCATGAGTCTGATGAATCTCAGCGCAGTGCACAAACTCCGTAGCACCGGCTAATATTTTTGTTTTTTGTTTTTTTTTAAATTTAAACAGACTGACCAAGCTTTCTCCATGTTGATTCCATGGTCCCATTTAGGTAAGAGGGGAGGTTAGACCCCCTGCCTGCTAACAACAACAAAAAGTTAGTTACGTCCCTGCACATGACGTTGCAGAACCAACCCCAGCATTTTTTGGCTGTTGTGGTTTTTCTAGGCAAATTTATGTCCAGGAGTTTGCCATTGCTTTCTGGACTGTTGGCTTCTTGATACCGTTGTCGAAAGCAACGCAAGGCCCACAGCTGGGATCGAACCCAGCACTCCGGCATTACAAAGCATGTTCACAATGCCTAAGCCAAAGATGCCAACTTTCTAACAAGCATAAAATGCAACAAATAAGGAGTCTGGTGAAACTGGATGTGCTGGAATTGAAAGGTGCAGAAATCACAGCTTATTATCAATCCTGTGGCCAAGTACATTCAATTTCAACAAGCATTTTGTTCCAGTTTGCTTCTCCCCAGCTGTGACTGTCCCCAGTCTACTTTCAAGGCATCAAGTGTGTTCCTAACTTTATCTGCTTTCTCTCTTTTGACCTGTCCAACAGAGGAGACCTGGCTAGTAGCTTAGATACTATCATTGTAGCCTCTTGGGGCCATGGAAACACACAAGAGTTGCCAGTGTTTCATGGTGGAGACAGAAGGACAAGTGTTTCAGAAGGACAAGAGGAGAAAAAAAACATTCACCTAAAACAAACTAAATACACAACACAATCCTCAACCCCAAAAAATTTAAAAAAACAAACAAACAGGCTGTAAAAAAGCAAGAATACTCACTACAGTGGTGGCCCAAAGTTTAAGCTCACCTAGCAAATAACTGATCACTGTTCATACTATCATGGAGTGCTGCATCAATTGCTATTTTAGGGCAAACTAAAGAGAAGCACTGCAGTCAATATAAGGCACTAAATAGCAGTTGAGGCAATACTCAACAATGTGGAAATAAAAACCTATTATTTACTAGGAGGTTTTAAAACTTCTGGCCACCACTGTATGTCTAATGGCAAGTATACAACACCAAAACAACAGACAGAATGATGGTGACTGAAGCACATAGGCTTGTTTAACCAAGACATTTATGAGCTTTAAACCATTGGTTTTCTTTTTAAAAGTTTCATCTGCAGAGGAGTGTCTGAATCATGAAGAACATAGCCAAGTCACAAAGAAGAAATAATTCATTTTGACAAAAGTGGCCCAAACAGCTCCGCATGAAGAAAAGAAAAAGGGAAGAAAAGAAAAAAGGAAAACAGATCATAAAATAAAAGGATTTCATGTTTTCTATAAATTTAAATAATGTCTAAAATATATTTTTTTTTAAATTAGCTGGAATTTAAATAAAAAGTAAAAATAGTCTGTATGTCTGTTTACAAGAGAACTATGCCAGAGAAGTGCACACATGAGGGACTATAATGTGACTATAAGATGACAGCTCCACTTATAAAATATGAAACCATTTCCTTCTATGAATTATAAATAAGGCAGCCATTTCTGCAAATGCTGTTCAGCTACTCCAGACACCCTCGTGCAGCAGAAAGCAACACGAAGAAAGCAACACAACAGTCACATCACATCAAATTAACAAGATAATCAGTCTAAACTTCATTATCGTGATAAAAACCCTAATTTTTAAGACAGTCTGTCATTTACAGTTGGCAGAATATATTAAATATCCATGTCATATTTTACACTATTTATACTGCACTACCTGTTTCTCTAGTTTCTAACCCCCCCCCCCCCCCCCCCCATTTTTCAAACATGAATATGTGATGACCAATTAATAAAATCAACTAGGCAAACTGAATACTGTTAACTATCATGTGAAACCCTGAACCTAAATACGGTCTCTGTTGTTTACACTTAGCAAAAGTCCCCCTCTGGGTTCCTGATGGAAGAAACTGCCACACTGTCAAACATGTCGCAAAAGGCCGCTGATACAGATTTGTCCTTCAAAATCGGGGGCACATCTGGCTGAGAGGTGAGGAATCAACAATCTGCATACTACTTCTTCTTCGCTGACCGGCTGTAAGCTCTGCAATAGAGTCCTGGCTGTTTGTCCATTTTCCATTTGAACTTTGACTGTGTGCCAGGGTCTGAGTTTTGAGTGTGCATCCATTTTACTAGCTTATGTCTCTGCAGTTGGTTGTTTCTTGCTGCTCAGGCAGATGCACTCCAACTCTGAAGGAAGCTCTCAGTTATTCGACTCCTATGACATGCTTGTTGGGGAGGGAGTGGGTCTATTCTTGTTTTTCACACAATGGGGCCCCTGAACCCTGCACAAAAAATTCAAGTTCTGCAACAAAACTAAAATCTAGAAGTGGACAAACAACCAGAACTTTCTGCCAGAGTTTACAGCCAGTGAAAACTAACAGAGGCCAACTTGTTTGCAAAAGGTGAATATAGGACACTGAAGATGCATTGGCTATGAAAGCACACAGGGCTGGAGAATTAGCTAGAGAAAGGGAGACTCTCAGGTTTGTCGTGAAGACAGCAACATTCTGTAAAGGATATGATGATTGACTGACTGACTAAACACTAAGAGGAAGAAGAATTAGCAAAAGTACATTAAATACCTACATAAAAAATATGTTGCACTTTATAAATACTGAGCCTAGACCATATGACTTAACTTTGTCTGTAGTTTCTGATTTGGACTTGGTACGGAATGAGTGATATTTGAACAAAACGCTATAACAAGACTTCACAACCTTAACTAAATTCAACAACACCAAGCCATTTGAAATATGTCAAATCATTACAACAAATATTGATGGTCAGGAAACCATTATTAATTTGTTCTTACTATGAAATGAATGGTAGATATAATCTTATTCATCTTCTTTATGTTGTCAACTCTGGCAGAAAGTTCTGGGTGTTCGTCCACCTCAGGACCTTAGTTCTTTTCCAGAACCTGAGTGTTGCGTGCACACCCATTTCACAAATCTGGCTTATCTGTAAGCAGTCTTTTGATTCCTTGCCTCAGGCAGAGGTTCTCCGACTTTGAAGGATGTCCCCATTGGGTCTGTTCTTTATTTCGCTACAACAGGACCTGGAATCCACAAGAGGAGGAATGTATCCAACTAACAAGCTATGACACATCACTACAGCCTCACCCTTTTGCCTGCACGCATCCCTCGTCTGGGAACCTGGTGCTCAATCAGATCTGCAGCAGACGCTGGTGGTGATGCTGGTCTCATGGTCTCACAAACAGTGTACAAGTCTTCAGTGAGAGGTGTCAGCCCATGTTTCTGGCGAACTTCATTTTTTCTTTTCTCCAGCTCTCTCAGACCACCAAGTGTTAGCTGGTGAATAAAAGGTAAAAATTAAATTTAACTCATCCTCAACTATGTATGAATCAAGACATTTGGTTCCACCATGTATCAAAAGACAGCTGAGAAAATGCAAGCAGGCATTTATGTGTTTTTCTCTGCATATATCTATGTGCTAAGTATATAAGTGTACTCACATGTGACTGAAACCCATAAAGGATCCAATAGTAAAAATATGTAAATTATAAACATGATCCTCAAGTACCAGCGTTAGATTTCAGCAGTGGACAGTTGTTTTTAACAGGTTTCCATGTTTTTTGGACAGCAGTATGAGAGTCGCACCGTGGAAAAGACAGAGTACCATCATGTAATATCCCTAAAGGCAGCAATGGTTACACTGTAACCAACCTTCACTGTGAAAACAGCACTCTATTTTTTAAAACTAAAACACATGTCACAAGAGCCAACAAAGGATGGTTGGCGTGAGACCAGCTATCTTATCTCACAGAAAACTTTAGCTGCAAATTCAAACCACTTAAAGAAGTCGTTAAAAGAATTAGGTGTGATCTGGTAGACGACCTATACTCCACTGGGAGGAGGAAGCAGTAAACAAATGACCTGAAAGTAAAGCTGATGAAAAGTAACCCTTTTACTCCATTTCATGCCTTGTTATGTTCAGGCTAACCATTGTTGCTATTTTTGATTTGGTCTTTTTTTTTTTTTTTTTTTACATTTACAATTTGTTTCATTTGTGATTATAACTTTTAGTTGGTTTACAGCTGTTACTGCTGTGATCATTTTAAATCAATTCACAAAAAGATGTAGATCTTCACATTATCTTTTTACAGACAACTGCCTATTCTGCTCCCTTAGCACTGTTTTAGAAAAGGAACAAAACACCTGCACATGTAAATTCTCAAATCTATGGCCAGTAACTGTTAGCATTTTAGGGCCTTTTTCTAAGACAATGGAAAATTATGGACTGCTCTTTCTTATTTAAAACTGGAAATCCTAAACTTGTGATGTGTGCGCAAAAGACATTCTATTTTATCACTGTTCCAAAAAGGCAAAGAAGATCCAAGAAGGCATTCCACTATTCTGATATCTAGTCGGAACTTGCTTGGGTTCCTTATCCCGTAAAAAGTTTCCAGTGGATTCAGACCTGCACTTCTCCAGCTGACAGTAAATGCTTTACCACTAAACAGCTCTGTCTTGTAACAGAAAGCCATAAACAGTTTGCACATATGCTAATAATAAATACTTTAATGTGAGAACCCATCATTCAAGAACCCTTTGGAATCACCTCCTGCCCCCTTTCACTACTCACTCTCATACACACATACGTGCATGCAGGTACATACACAGGTTATCTCAGCTTAAAAGATGAATTATTTGGTTGCATTGTAATGCTGCTTCAAATCTGTGGTTTGCATCTGATGAGACACACCAGTTGGAAAAAAAGCGTAAAAGACCCATTTCCACTGGACATATTGTGCCAGACCACCTCCCCCCATTCTGACCATCACAGTATACATTCTCTGACTTTTAAAATTCACCTTGAGCACACCCAAGAAAGTCAGCCAACAATAGCCACTCTGACTTTGCTTTTAGCCTCTTTGAAAGTAATACATTCAGGATTTTTCCTAGTGAATTAAATTTTTTTTGCTATTTGCAATTAACCCTATTGTCTGAGAAACACTTAAAAAATAAAAAAAAAATTGGGGGGGGGGGGGGGGGGGGAATGACACCGTAGGATTTCCTGAAAAAGTCCTTTAAACAAATTTCAAAATTATTTTTTCACAGATCAAAAAAAAAATTTTTTCATGTATTTACTACATTTTTTAAATATCTTTTCTATATATAAAAAGATATATAAAGCAAGCAGTCAATAAACATGAACAGAATAAAAATCAAATGCAATACACTCTACAGAGCCTAAAAAAAATTTATTGAGTGACTCATGCCGTGACCTCCATCAATGAGGTTGACATAACAATTTGACAGAGCGCGGCTTTAAAAAATTATTTGATTCACACACGAAAACCCTCTTAAATGATATGTTTAATTAATATATTCATATCCTGACCACTGAAAGGCTGCATAAGTGCAAACACAACCAACAGCATTAACTATGTATCTCGTAAACAGGTCACTTTAGAGTAGTCAGTAAAGTGACATTTACTGAGAACTGGGCCCAACATGAATTGTCAGTTTTGTGGCTTACAGGGGCAACAGAGTTAAATCACCGGGTAATGAAAGAGTTAATAGAAAACTGGGTGCAAAAGAGAACAAACACATGCAGATCAAGCAAACATACTGTACCAAAATAACTTTCCATAACAGCAATAGAACTTTCTTCATCGGGTAATGTGGTGCACTGCCACTGCAGAACCTGGTCACCATGCCAAACAGTAGCACAGAAAGTGGATCCTCCCCAAACACAGGTTGCACTGGTTTCAACAAAAACAATTAAATATCAATAAATGCAATCAAACTGTAACAATCAGTTCATGCAAAGAAATCATTATCATACACACACAAAAAGGACTGATTTAGGAAACACAGGGGGACATAAATTAACAGGAAAACTCAGTCGTTAACTCGACCCTTTCAGGAAGAAACTGAATATAATAAAAAAGAAGTATATATAAAACAAGTCAAAGAACAGAGAAAGAAAAGAGAGCTGCAGATGACCACAGATCAGAACCAATTATTCCAAATTATGAAAACTAGCTGGAGAAGAATCCTTTGCGCTGATGTGGACAATGGAATCGAGAGCCTACTTTTCGGGGAGAAATGGCAAACTTCTTCTTCTTAGAGTCCATGCCGTGTGGCATTGGCATTCATGTCCATCCACAAATCTCTGTCTCATGTACTTTCAATCAACACAGATGATCATCCATGCCATGATGTCTAACTGTATCTGTTCTGTCTCCCCTTGCCTCTCCTCCACTCCAACTTTCCTACCGTCATGATGTACTCCAGTTTTCTCCTTCTCATCACATGATCAAAGAATGTAGATTGTCTCTTTCTGATGTGGGCTATCAGTTTTCTTCATACTCTGCTGTGATCATGTTTACTATAGGGGGTATGTTGTTTAATAACTGTAGACTCTTTTAAATCAATGATTTGTTCACCGTAATTAAATCTGTGTATTACATCATGCTTCAAATGCCACATAACCATTAGTTTGGAATATCACTGCTAAATACCAGTGTTTTAGTTACTGATCTTAGCTAAAATGGTGTTAACAGAGCATGTGTTCCTTAACAGTGGCAGGTATTCGAATGTGCTTGTTCAACAATGTATGATGTCATTTCCTGACACTCAAGTGCCTCATCCTAAGTGTAAGCAATTTAAACTAGAACATTTGTGTGAATAGAGAGGTAATTTGGAAAAAGTACCCAAAAAAACACAAAACAAAAGACATACTATAGCAGTATATGCTGCATTAACTCAGACGGTGGTTACAAAAATAGGAACAGCAATATTGTCAACAACAAAAAAGACTCTGTTTTCATTGGTACAAACAAACCTAAATCATCTTTAAAGAGCTCCCTGGCTTCCTGAAACTTCTGAATGAATGGATCATTGATGTCTTTCCCAACATCACATGTACGCACTGTCTCCACCATAATGTATAAAATATTCAACAGAAACCTGAAAATACAAGATAACATCCTATTGTCAGCAATAGCCTTCATTATTTTTAATAAACTATGGTTGTAAACATCTATAAGTCTCAGTGACAGATTAGTTCAGCCATTTGCCTGGGACTCTGAAGGTTGTGGGTTCAGTTTCAGACTCCATCTTTTAATTTGCTAGAGCAGGTGTTTCAGAGATACTTGAGGATCAATCATGACCAGAGTTACAGAATTTCCTACTTTGCTCAATGCTCCGGAAAAAACTCAGTACAGACACCGAGCCTTTCTGAAACCGAGCAATAAAATCGATTGATTTACCTTTAACCATTGTATCTTAAATATAATTAGCAATTCTCCATCTGCCATCCCCACCTAAAGAGAGAGAGAGAGAGAGAGAGTGTGTGTCTGTCTTTGCGTGAGTGCGTGCGTGCATGTTTGTAGATTTCCTTAACACCAGATCGATGAAGGGTCCAGATTTTTAGCACCCTGATATTTGAAATTATTACTGTTTCCACTGCGTTCCCAAAACATTATTTTAGCTTTCTGTCATATTTCTGATCATGGTGGCCCAGCGATTAGTGTTCCTACCTGCCAAGACAGTGATCCAAGAATATGTGAAGGTCTAATACTACCAAAGTGGTGTCACTAAGTTTCCTCATTATTGTTAATTTTTCTTTCTAATTTTTAACTTAGTTCTGCTGATATCTCAACCATATAAAAAGTAGACTCCAGATTCAGACAAAATCATAAGAGAAATGACCAATGCTTTAGAAGAATGCAGAATAGACCAGGTCATGAGGCTATTGATTACAAAATATGACACCGGAGATATACCTAATGACCTAATTAACTCTACTGTAATATCAAAGAAACCAGGAACGGTAAAATTCTAAAGCAAGTTAATAGGTGCAACCTTTTAGGAATAGTCATAACACCAGATACAAGATTCTTTGCAGAAATTTAAAAAAAGAATCGCCATGGCACAGGTGGCCTCTAACAAGATGTAAATAAAAATTATCACCTTTAAGATGTCACCGGCAGTGAGAAAAAAAGAGTGTTAAAGTGTTATGTAGAACCTGTGTTGTTACATGCATGTGAAACATGGACAATAAGCAGAGAAGCTGAAAAATATTTGCTTGCAGCAAAGATGAGTTTCTAAGAAAAATGCAAAGAATATTAAGGTAGGGCAGACAAACAAAAAGGAAGTGGTCCACGCTGAGACAAATGAAAGTCGTAAACGTATTAGAACAATAAGACTCGGTCAATACTATTTGGACATCTTATGAGAAGGAATAGACTTGAGCACTTAGTAACAACTGGAAAGATTAATGGAAATAGATCAAGAGGAAGGCAAAGACACAATATCTTCAAATTCTACAGGCTGTGAATAAATACTTTAACTAAAACTATCAGTATCAGAAACTGCTGCCCTAGCGTCTGCTGCCGACAGTGTAACTGATGGTCGAGACGTAGACGACTTTGAAGCGACATGCCGTTGTTTCACTGCTAATGACTGTTTCTGATGGCACTTCATTAGATTTATCAGTTAAACTATTCAGTAATATCTTCACCTTTGCTTGCAGAAGAAAAATCAAATCAAGAAAATCACGTGCAGCAACATAAAAATTATAAATATTACCACCACGATTCCTTCGAGAATCTGATGCCATGACGTAAACTTCATCAATGTGTCAGCGACATGTGAGCTCACAAGAAAAGTCATCAAAAATTTACTATAAGTACTACGGAATTGTTTCATTTAAAAAAATTTAGAGAAATGAATAGGCTAAAGGCTTCAACCAAATTCATTGCAAAAATCATGATTTTAACATGATGATGAGCGTCCAAAGTTACAATCACAAGGGGTGTGATCATGGTTTTCAGGCGTAAACGTTGGCAGATCTCATAACGTGCAATCATGGTAGTCAGTGTGTTAAAAGACACTTTATTATGCAAAATAATTTGTTTGCATTGATGCTGCCTAGCTGGACTCTTGATTTTCCTTTTTATGGAGGCATTATTGTATCCATTTGTACAAGCTACAATAGGACCCTTTTTAACGCCAGGGATGCACTGGGCATATGATTCTAGACATTTCTGTACAGACACACTGGCCCTCAACAGGTGATGTGGTTAACATCATGCTGTCAACCTTTACTTCCAATGATATTTCCTGGTATCTATTTTAGGTTGGGCCAGTCTAGGAGCCAAGGTCAATTCTTTTTCAAACCTGTCTGATGCAGATTAACATTGAAGACATTTCAGTCAGCAGGCCAAAGTCTAGCCATTATCCAGGCACAGTTCCTTATACATTAACAGACAAGTCTACATTACCAAATATTGTAAAACGTTAACACCAACCTCAATTCTCTGCTGTCGGTAATGGACACTGCTGGTTTCCTCAATGCCATCAAAGCTGATGTGCTATTTCTAAAATTACAAAACCAATGAAATACTGAAAATTCCTAATAATGAACAGACATTAAGCAAAGGTAATAAACACAGATAATAAAAATTCATGTTAGTGTACACAGATATTTGTACAGATTTTTTCCTTTAATTTCCCCCAATGGGACTGCAACCTGAAGATCTGACATCAAGGGACTCACAGAACTACTATTCAGAGGTGAATCCCAAAAGCAAAACCTAGAAACCCCATTCAACCATATAAAACAGTTATGCTGGGGCACTTTATGGTTACCAAACAACCTGTGGCCCGATATGGGTGGGTCACATCACATAAATAATGAGTACAAAAATGTTGACATGATGCCCACAAGAATAAAATAACTTACTTCTTCTTCTTCTTCTTGCGTTCACAGGCTGTAAACTCAGGCGAAAAGTTCTGGCTGTTCATCAACTTTTACATCCTTTCACGGGGGGATGATAACTTTCACTCAGACAACTACAGCTGTTGGCCCACAGTTATCTACAGTTGGCATTCACTTAACTTCCACTTAGATAACTACATATGTTGGCATAGTTATCTACAGTTGCAGCTACTCAACTTGCACTCAAAGACGATCATTGTTGGCACTCAGATAACTACAGTTATTGGCACACAGTTATCTACACTTAGCACTTACTCAACTTCCATTGCAAGCAGCTGGACAAGACAGGTGTAGAGACCTAGATCCAAATACAGAAGTACACTGTGTCTGCTAACTTCAAACATGTGGTCTTGAGATTTGCATTCACCATAGACACCTAATAATGAGTAGAAATATAACTTAAATACAATCTGCTTTTGCGAATAACAAACTAGTAGTCTTAGAATAAGTTTTCATTTTAGTGTTCATTAACTCTAGCTGTTTGTCCCCTTCTGGTTTGTGGTCTTACTCCAGAACTTGAGTTTTGCCTGCACATCATTTTACAGATCTGACTTATCTGTATGCAGAACTGCAGGTTCCTTGCCTCCCAGGCAAATGCACTAGAACTTCAAGTCAACCTTTAAGACATGTTTGTATTCCTCAAAATAGACCCCGGAACCCACATGGAAAAAGGATGGGTGACGGGAGGAGAGAGAGAGTGCGTGCATGCGTGCGTCTCTCTCTCTCTCTCTCTTTTTCTCAGAATATGTCAAAGAGATGTGACTACAAAACAGCAAACAAAAGAGGAGGCCCCACATGAGAACATGGGTCAGCTTGAATATATATAACACACAGATAATTAAAGGCTGATTTAATTTTCTTCATACGGCTGCCATATTTGCACCTTTCAGCCAGCACATCGGACTTCTTCTGGCATTGTTACCTGGGTTGGCCTTCCCTGGCTGATTTCATCAATGCTGTATAAACCTGGCTAGTAGAGACTGATCAGTCTCTTAGGCTGTTTCAATTATACAATCTGGAAGTGAAGCCTAAACACTCATGTCAATTCCGCCTTCGAAGTCAAAGAGATATAATCAACTTCTCATGGGCACAGCGAGCATAAGTAATATCAGCTGACTGCTGCAATGGAGGACTGAGCATACTTGGGAAAGCAGAATATGTGGTGACATCAACTGTGATAATATAATGTAACATAACATAAAATAACATAATGGGTACCACAAAGCTGCCTGATTAGTTCTGACTCATTTACTTACACAGCAGCCTGGCAACATTTCAAAACTAGAAAATATAAATTAAAAACATTTGAATTCTGGTAAATGAATTGGTATCCTTGCCAAGGCTATGTACTGAGATGTGAACCTTCTAAAGTGATCTGATATTTTTTAAAAGGCCCCGATATCAAATGTCACAGAGCTATGAAAATGATCCTTAAAGTAATGTAATCAATTATTCACAGCCTTTCCTGACTATCTTCTTCTTCTTAGCATTTACCCGCTGTAGACTTTGGCGTTAAGAAAGATATTCTCTGAAGACGAGTAGGCTGGGAAAAAATCTACCTTGTACAAGATAAAGTAGAGCCTGGATAGCTTTAACTCTTCTCTCCCTTTCAGTCACCTCCAGGTCATCCTGCAGGCTTACAATAAACTTGATTTGGTCCTCTCTTGACAATGCTGTCCATTTTTCAAAACCTGTGAGAAACATATTTACTGACATTATTTTTATGGTTAGGTTTGAAAAAAGTAATACAATTTATTAAATAGTAAGAGATGAAATGGTTTAGCCATTTCATGAAAATGTCCCAGTACCAACTTACACAGAGAACCATGCCGAAGAAATGTAATGAAACTAAAGCAAGCAGGAGAAATGTAATGAAACCAAAGCAAACGGAAAACCATACAAAAGATTAGAATGGTGACATGAAGAGCAACCTTCAAGAAATTAAGACCAACTTAAACAGCACAACAGAAAATAGCACTCAGAAAAAAATCCTTACATCTACTTCCAACACTTGGTTGAAGTAACATTTAAAAAAATTATGTTTTAGGATTTTAGAAAAACAATTAATTATTGTGACACTGCACAGAACTATACGACAATAGTTAACTGTTCTTAGATATTGGGATTTTTAATATTTAGGACTTGATTCTCTAAAAAGAAACTCTATGACACAATCTTCTTGCCAACCCTGTACCACCAATGCCAAATATGGACAATGACAGAAGAAGAGAATATTACAACAACTGAAATGAGATTCCTACGAAGGGGTCTTTATATAAAAATAAGAAATAACACCAGGAATAATGAAATCTGAAAGGTAATAGGGGTAGCGGGAGCTCTGAATTTCACTAGAAGAAAACAGGTGAAATGGTTTGGCCATACAAAGCGGATGTCAATAAACAGAATACCCCAGCAAGCAATGATGTACAGACCAGGAGGAGAGCGAACAAGAGGCTGACCATGCAAAACGATGGACAGAGGGAACAACAGACTCCCTGGGAATCCCCATTTACGAAGCGCACAAAAATATACTTTACCGTAAATTATACTTCACCTACCAGTGAACCATGATGAGATGATAATGACTGTGCCTTTACTCTTCTCATTCTTTGAATTGTTTATGGAGTAACAAGATTTCCTATGCCACTTGGCATTGTAAAAGTCAATCAGAATGAGAAGAAGAACTAGTCAGCTTCCCAATAAAAATGGACCACAAATCATGAGAATACGCCTAAACATCCTTTAAAAACAAATAACTATTTTATAAGGGTCACTAATAAATTTGTGTTTGAATTATTTATGTATAATTCTGAGCATTAACAAAAAAAAATTCAAATATAACAGGATTAATCAATAAACATAAGGGAAGTGAAGCAATAAACAGAATACATTCCACAGGGTTTAAAGTAAAATACTTTGGGTGAGACATGCTGTGACCACACGACATATATCCTTAAAGCTAGGAGGAGACAATTATATATAGATATCATTAAAGCTAGGAGAAAACAATTACATCAACATTATTTGGAAAAAAAAAATAAAGGCTATCTGGTTCACAAAAACCCACCCCCTCCAATGCCAAATTTTAGTGAATACATTAATATCCTGACCTCCTAAAATATGCGCAGGCACATACACAACCAATAGTGTCTGCATTATTCTCGTAAACACATCACTCTGGTATCAGTTAAAAGACTTTTACAGGGAATTGTAATAGAATGGATGTGTCAGTTCTGCAACTTCTCACGGCCACAGAATTAAAATGGGCTAAACAAATATGTCTTACCATGTGCTTTGGCCAGTTCCTCAAAGCAGGCTTGGTTTGAACCAAACTCTGGCTCTTCTGTGTAACTATACAATTCTGTTGACAAGAATACAATAAGTCAATTATTTTAAAGAAAACACTGAAATGGTCAATAATTCAAGAATACAATCCCCAGAGACTGACTGGACATCTCAGGAAAAAACCTTTATCAATATACACTAGCAAATACTGATATAATTACATTAAAATACAACAAAGTTGGTCCCTTCACATTTCTAAACATGGATCCAAAAATCATTTAAATCATTATCATCATGTGCCCTGCCAACTAGCGTAGGCACTCATGCATCTCCACAGATTATGATCCCTGGCTGCCTGGAACAGATCTCTTGATGATATCCCTCCATGCCATCGTTTCAGCCCATCCAGCATCATCTCTATTTAAATCATAAGGCAGTGAAATAAAACTAAGCGCCAAATTACAGGCTGTGAAATAAAACCAAAAATAAAACCACAACCCTGATAAGAAGCTAAAATGAAGTGAAAGGTAAGCGAGAGTCAAAGGTCAAATCACTCCACATATAAAAAGCACTGAGTGGATTGGTGCAAATTATAGAAGTACTAGTCTGAGCTGTTATCACTGGTCTGCAGACAAATATGCTAGCCACAACACTACAACAGCCCCCATGTAACATACATCCTCATCTTCCTGTTGTGCCATATATATATATATATATATATATATATATATATATATATATATATATATATATATATATATATATATATATGTCATATAGAGCTCGTAATCTATTCCTTTACTTTGCTCTCTATGTTTGCAACATAGCATGAACATTTGAAATACAAAATTTAATGTTTATTTTAGTGTTGCGTGTCAAGAGTTAAATAAGGAGATTGCAGATAAGAGAGGAACAAAAACTTCATGCACAAAAGCACTGAATGAGAGTTGACAAGGCAGACTAAGAAGACAGCAGAGAGATAATATACACACTGACTTACAAAACACTTGGAGTCACCAACCGGAAAGAAAAGGGCTATCACAGACAAACTGAGGCATGTGATACACGCAACAATGAATCTCAGGGCTCGAAATGTTGAAGAAGAAGAAGTGTGCATGTCTGGCCACTGACTTCCACATTTTGACAGTCAGTGATGTGGTCAATAACATGCTGAAATGTCCAGGTCAATGAGAACATTCTAACTTCAATGGGTATTTTGTACAATAGGCCTCCTCATGTGCCCTTTGTAGGGAAAACAAGACTAGACCCACTGCCTCCTCAATAAACATGTCGCAGGAGTCGACTTATTGGGGGCATCCTTCAAAGTCAGAGTACATCTGCCTGAGAGGCAAGGAACCAAGAGTCTGCATACAAATAAGCCAGATTTGTAAAATGGATCTGCGCACAACACTCAGGTTCTGAAACAAGACTCAAGTCCGGAGATAGACGAACACCCAGAAAGAACTTTGCGCCGGAGTTTACAGCTGATATATGCGAAGAAGATGAATAAGAACATTGGGCCAGCTATGCTGAATAAGAACAATGGTAACCCTGCTTCAAGGTGGCTACCATACAGTTAATGCTCATGATTTTCTGATAATGAAAGTGAAAAGGAAATGAATTTAGTTAACCCTTTCAGCCCCAAGCAACAAGTCATGTGTGATTCCAGTCAACAGGTAATGTGTTTTCATAGACATTAATCTTTTGGTCAGGGCCTTCTTTCTAACTTAATCAGGTTTCCCCAGTCTATGACTACATTCAATGTATATATATATTCTTTTTTGATGTAATACACTCATGATTATTCACAGTAGCTGCCTATTTGGACATCTGCTCCAAAAACTTTACAATCAACATCAAAGCACTATGATCACTCCTATAGGTGCTCCATCTCTATATTCAGTAGCTAGTGCAGAGTTCCAATACTAATGGTGCCAGTAACAAACTGATTATATGCAAGGAAATGAATGAGTCATTCCAACTCATTATCTAGACCAGTGGTTCCCAGTTAGCTGACCTGTTGATAAATATTATTTTCAAAGGTCCTCCACGGACCTAATATTTTTTTAACAGTCCTACTGAATTTATAAATATTAGAATCACAAAATGATTTGCGTTCTAAAGTTTATTTCTGTCTTCAGTAAATGACATCAAATATCGCTTAAATTTGTTCAGCTGATCCCGAGGGGTCCACAGACCAGCAAATGGGACTTATCTAAAATATGTAATGGGCTAACATTTCCCATATCTCTCCGCTTTCCCCATTTTGAGGGGAATAAAGAACAGATCCACTGCCCCCCCCCCCCCCCCCCACCCCCCCCCCCCCCCCCACAGGTATGTCGTAAAAGATAACTAATTTGGGATGTTTCTTCCAAAGTCAGAGTGCATCTGCCCAAAAAGCGAGGAACCACAAATATGCACACAAATAAACCAGATCTGTAAAATAGATGTGCACACAAAACTCAAGTTCTGGAACAAAACCAACATCCAGAAATGGACAGAAAGAAACTTCCCCCCTCAGTTTACAGCCCCTAAACACTTAGAAGAAAAAGAAGACTTCAGCCTCCCAGCCCATGACAGCATCTACCACAGATATGACTGCCTTTAACTTTTTTTCCCAGAAATCAAATAATTACCTGCTATCTCAGACTCATACTTGTCAGCATCAGAATATGTGAAGTCCACTTTTTCCACTTCTGACATCTCTGGAAGTTCAAATGTATTACTATCATTTGTTCTCCCTAGCGAGGAACTGCCAAGGCCTACAGCTAAGGGACCTGCAAGGTGGGGAAAAAAATACAATTTCTCTTCATGAAAGTATCAGTAAATGCAGGCAGTGATTATCAGAATTGTGAAAAAATTTCACAGGACAACTTTATACAAATCATCATGATTCATGCCGATAAGCATAGCCAGCCATTCTTCTTCTGCCTTGTTCACTCTTACAAGGACACACTGCGTTTTGCTTAACCACTACACTGCAATTTCTTAACCTTTTGGTCCAACGCATCTGATTTCAGCAAATCCTTAATTAATCACCTTTTATGGCATGCTTGTAAGGGGGGCAGTGAGCGATTTTATATGGTCACTAAGATGGGGCCTGAAACCCACATGAGGGAGTAGTAGCCAGCTGTTTTGCCGTTCCATAAAATCAAGAGACTCAAAACTATTTGGACCCTTATCCCAATTATGCCATGTGGTTATCCCTTTCAGATATTCATTGCCAGACTGACTGATTGTTCTTTCACTCTCTAGGCTGCTATCTGAAGGTTTCAAACTCTTGCAACTCAGTGTACCCTGGATTCATTCCAACAGGACCAATCCTAGGTACCCTCTTCAACCTCTTAAGAAGTTATCATCAGGGCAACTGTAATGGCTGCACCAAGCAGTGAGTTAAGAACCTCTTTTTCTTCTTCTTCATTTACCGGCTGTAAGCTCCGGCGGAAAGTCCTGGTTGTTCGTCCATTTAGACTTTGGCTTTCTGCCTACCTGAGTTTTGCATGTGCATCTGTTTTACTGGCTTATTTGTGTGCAGCTGGTTGTTCCTTGCCATCGGGCAGATGCACTCCGACTTTGAAGGAAGTCCCCAATTAGTCGACTTCCACAACATGCTTGTTGGGGAAGCAGTGGGTCTATTCGTGCTTTCCCAAAAATGGGGCCCAGGAACTCACACGGGAAAGTTAAGAACCGACAAAGTAAACCTTTGGACATTCCCATAAATGTTCTGTCCCCATATTCAGCATCCAGATAGTGCAGAGTTCCAATACCAATTTTACTTGTTACCTCATCCCACATGCAAGAGATTATCTCTGTCTTGTGCAATTGCAGTGCAAACCCCCCCCCCCCCCCTCCCCGCCAACCACCCTTCAAGTGGGGACAGTAATCCAGCAATTTACCATCAAGTGGTGCAGAGCCAGCCAGTCTGTCTATGTGTTCCTTTCCCAACATACCGTCATGAGCTGGAGAAAATATCAAAAGGATTCTACCTAACTGGGACCTCTTAGACCACTGGCTCTCAACCTTCCTAATGCAACGACCCTTCTTTAATATAGTTCTTAAAGTTGTGGTGACCCCAATCCATACACTTATTTTCGTTGCTACTTCATAACTTCAATGAATATGTGTTTTGCGATCATCTTTGGCAACCCATATGTAAGGGTTGTTTGCCCCCAAAAAGGGGTTGAGAACCGCTGTCTTAGACGATGCTTGCAGCTGCATCAAGCATACCTGTCTCCGTTTTTCTCAACATAGTTCACAGAGTTAGTTATAATCATGACATGCCTGTGCAGCTAATTTTCAAGCCAGCAGAGGGCTGTAGCAGTAACTATTACTCTCTCCATTCCTAAACTAGATGTTGTGATATCATTTGTGAGGCTTCACTGCACTAAGGGTCGTTCACTCACTTCTGCTATGAACCCCATTGTACTGCTTCTGCTAAGTACTAACCTACTGTAATATCTTTTTGTTTTCTTTTAAAACATCTCCCAGTTTTCCCCTTGCTCTTTCCTCCACTAGGTTTCCCAGCTGTTACTAACTTTCCAAGTTGATTTTTCTTTGTAAAATATCCTGTCTGTAGTTACTCTAATGTCTAGGACTGCTCAATCATTGGCTTGTTTTATACTAAGAGCTGAGCATAAGATAGCATTTGGATTACAACATTGAAAATCTGGATGCCATAAAATATTGCTTAACTCATAAACATTACCAGTATATGTACTGTGACCTATGTAGAATATATAACGTTCACTATTTTAGCCACAAGTATTCTTCTACTGCTTTGTTGTTTCCCTGATCGACATAACTGTGGTGTGCCTGTTTAGAGTACAGCTGCAATATTTGCAAAATTCTACCAACACATCCATCTTCTTCAGGCATTTGTTATTCAGCTAAACCAGGTGAGGTATGGGATATCTTCTTCTACCCCATCACAAAGACCTTAACTTTCCCTAAAGCCTGTGACACAAATCAAGGTGCCATAACTGACTGCTTCTCCCTTTCCATGTTGATAACTGAAGGTTTAACAGCCCTGCAACCCAAAGTCACAATCCTCCCCAAGATGGTTTAGGGCCTCATTGTGAGGAAAACAAGAAGAGACACACTGCCTCTCCAACAAGCATGTCATAAGAGTCAATTAACTGGGGGCTTCCTTCAAAGCTGGAGTAGGGGCTTCCTTCAAAGCTGGAGTGGGGGCTTCCTTCAAAGCTGGAGTGCATCTGCCTAAGCAGCAAAAAAATCAACAGTTTGCATACAAAGAAGTCAGATCTGTGAAATGAATGTGCATGTAATGCTGAGGTTCTGCAAAACATGACTAAAGTCCAGAGATGAACAAACAAGCAGAACTTTCTGCTGAAGTTTACAGCTGGTGACTGTGAAGACAAAGACAAAGAAGAAGAGGAGAAAGTCACTATCTTAATTAATGACAATCCAGCAGAGTAAATCACATATAGCGTATTCAGCCTCCTAAGAAATTATTGGTTAGCCTCCGAAAAACGGTCCCAAATTATCGAGGCTAAGAAAATACCCTAACAGAGCCTCAGTCACATGTAAATTGCATACCTCTTTCTGGCGACTATACTGCACACCCCGGAAAAGCTTCTGCCGAGTTAAAGTCACCACTGAGAGCATCCCCCGGGCCGCTATGCACGGCGTGGAGGGCTAAACTAGATGGCTGGGACTCACGAGCAGCAGCTACAGCATCTCCTGCAGCTTCCTTCATTTTATTTGCTCGTGAGTCCCAACCATCTAGTTTAGCCCCAATTAATGCCGCACGTAGCAGCGTGGAAGATACTCTCGAAGGTGGCGGAAGTCAGTAATTTACATGTGACTGAGGTCCTGTTAGGGTATATTTTTGGCCTCGATAATTTGGGACCGTGGCACGGGGGATACTGTCGGCGGTGAGGCATAGTCACAGAAACAGGTCCGCAATTAACATATCGCTGAGACCCTGTTAGAGAATTTGTTTTGCTATATAGAGCCGATTCTAGTTTTGCCGCGATTCGTTCGTAGCCGGAAGTTCGCATATTTTTAATTGGACTGAGCCCTGGAAGGATATTTCCCCCCGTGTGGTTTCCGGGGCCCCATTGTGGGGAAAACAAGAATAGACCCACTGCCTCCCCAAAAGCATGTCGTAAGAGTCGACTAATTGGGGAGCTTCCTTTGAAGTCGGAGTGCATCTGCCGGAGAGGCAAGGAACCAACAGTCTGTATTCAAGAGAATGAGATCTGTAAAACTGATGCACACGCAACACTCAGCTTCTGGAGCAGGACTGCAGTTCAGTAGTGGACGAGCAACCAGAACCTTCCGCCAGAGTTTACAGCTGGTGAACGCGAAGAAGAAGAAGAAGATTTCAGGCCGCCATAATGCGGGAGTAGAAGTTCGGAGGAGAGTCTTTATTTTTTTGTTTTAATTTTTTTTAAAGAGTTTCTAACAATTAAGGAGGCTTAATTTAAAAATAATTTAGAAACATTTGCTAAAATACTTAATCGTATGGAATGAGATATGAGTCCTTTAGTACTCAGCCGTTTTCGTTTTTAAAACTAAAAGTACTAAAACTAACTTTCTCCCTTTCATTGTTTCGTGTGTTGTCTGCAAGAAACGCAACAATGGTGCCTGGGTACCATACAATTTTCAGCTCATGTACATTAAAATACAAACCCAACCTTTTAAATAGTCGTTCATTCTCTCAGTTAAAGAGTGTATCCGACAACAAACTCAAACAGTGGACGAGATGGACATTTCCAGAATCTACTTCTAGTAAAATCCCACAAGTTCTGTTTTCTAGACAACCTAGTCCTAATTATCCATTCTGCACTTCCTGCTACTTAAAAATTGTTACCAAAAAAATTACTCGGAAAACGAGTACACGCAACACTCAGCTTCTGGAGCAGGACTGCAGTTCAGTAGTGGACGAGCAACCAGAACCTTCCGCCAGAGTTTACAGCTGGTGAACGCGAAGAAGAAGAAGAAGATTTCAGGCCGCCATAATGCGGGAGTAGAAGTTCGGAGGAGAGCCTTTATTTTTTTTGTTTTAATTTTTTTTAAAGAGTTTCTAACAATTAAGGAGGCTTAATTTAAAAATAATTTAGAAACATTTGCTAAAATACTTAATCGTATGGAATGAGATATGAGTCCTTTAGTACTCAGCCGTTTTCGTTTTTAAAACTAAAAGTACTAAAACTAACTTTCTCCCTTTCATTGTTTCGTGTGTTGTCTGCAAGAAACGCAACAATGGTGCCTGGGTACCATACAATTTTCAGCTCATGTACATTAAAATACAAACCCAACCTTTTAAATAGTCGTTCATTCTCTCAGTTAAAGAGTGTATCCGACAACAAACTCAAACAGTGGACGAGATGGACATTTCCAGAATCTACTTCTAGTAAAATCCCACAAGTTCTGTTTTCTAGACAACCTAGTCCTAATTATCCATTCTGCACTTCCTGCTACTTAAAAATTGTTACCAAAAAAATTACTCGGAAAACGAAAGTCTGAATATTAATCGAGAATTCACTAGAGTGCTGGGCTATTCAAGTAAGTTTACTCAGGGGCCGACGTTTTAGAAAAAGCGATCGTCAGAGAACCGAGCCACAGCATATAAAACATCATTAATACAATAAAATTGGCAATGATCCTCGGGCCATTTACTAGGCTGCACGGGCTAAATTTGGCCCGCAGGCCGCGTGCTGAAAAGCCCCGAACTAGAGGGATGGGGCTCCGAAATTGGGTGCTCTGGCATCTTTAGCGTACATACATATATATATATATATATATATATATATATATATATATATATATATATATATATATATATATACATACAGACCTCTTGAACAGACCTGATCCTGAAAATCCCCAAGCAAACAAGAAATCCTTAAAGCTATCCACACTTTAAAGAACAACAAAGCACCAGGCAAAGCCGAACTGCCAGCAGAACTTCTCAAAGTAGATCCCAACACAACTACTAGCATTCTAGAACCATTGCTCAAGTATATTTTGGAGAAAGAAGTGTTGCCTGATGACTGGACTGACGGAACAAAGGTCAAAATCCCAAAAAAAGGAGACTTAACAGACTGCAATAATTGGAGGGAAATTACTCTACTCTCGGTACCAAGCAAAATATTTTGTAAAATCCTCATAATGCGGCTTGAAAAAGGAGTAGATAAATGCCTACGAGTAGAACAAGCAGGATTCAGAAAAGGCAGAGGAACAACTGAACACATCTTCGCCATACGTAACATTTTATAATAATGCAATGAATGGCAGAGAAGTATATACATAAATTTTGTGGACTTTGAGAAAGCTTTTGACAGCGTCCATAGAGACAGTCTATGGAAAATTTTACGACATTATGGAATTCCAGAAAAAATAGTCAACATAATTGCTCTCTTCTATAAAGACTTTTCCTGCAGTATAAAAAATTACAGTACATCCTTCAAAGTGAAGACAGGTGTAAGACAGGGATGTGTTATGTCATCTCTCCTCTTCAACCTTGTGATTGATTGGATACTAAAGAACACAGTAGACATGACATTGAGAGGCGTACGATGGACTCCATTCACCGTGCTTAAGGACCTTGATTTTGCAGATGATATAGCACTCCTATCACATAAACATGAACATATACAAGAAAAAAGTAACAGACTTCACAGCATAGCAGAAATGGTGGGACTGAGAATAAATACTAAGATCATGACAAGCATTCCAAACCAACAACCAGTGACCATAAATAACCAAACTCTTGAAAATGTAGAACATTTTACATATCTTGGCAGTGTGGTGTCCCTGCCTGGAGGAACCGAAGAGGACATACGGTCACGTCTGAACAAAGCTAGAGCTGCTTTTGGAAGGATGAGACAAATCTGGAAATCCAACAATTACTACAGAGGAACGAAACTGCGACTCTACAAGAGCATCATTTTGCCAGTTCTTCTTTAAGGAGCGGAATGCTGGAGAATGACCAAAAAGGATGCACACAAGCTGTCCACCTTTCACCACACATGTCTACGTAGAATTATCAAAATTTTCTGGCCAGATACTATCTCAAACACTAAACTACTTCAAGTCACAAACCAAGAAACTTTAGACAGTATGATAACCAAGAGAAGATGGAAATGGCTTGGCCACGTTATAAGAATGAATCCTGATTTACCCGCCAAAACAGCTCTCACATGGACACCAGAGGGAAAGAGAAAACAGGGGCGCCCAAAAATAACATGGAGACGAAGAATGGAGAGTGACCTGAGTGCGGCATCCTTGACATGGAAAACTGCACTGAAGATTGCACAGGACAGGAAAGCATGGAAAGTCCTCTCTGAAGCCTCATGTGCCACTTGGCATAACAAGAACTGATGATGATATATATATCTTTAGGTTTACTTGACATATAGGGCTACACTAATATTCTAAAGACCAATAGGCACTCGATGGGTGATGTAGTCACTTAGGATATTTACATATTACATTATGCGTATTTTGAGGATCTTTGCCAGCAAGAATGACTAAAATGCCATGGCTGCCTGGGGACCTCCATAAACCTAGAGGCCCCCTGCTAATCTGCGTGTATCAATAGAAAGTACAGGTAAAGAACTCCCGTCCACGCCTTTAGGCTATTGGGCATTTATGACTAGACCTATGATTTACAGACCAATCGGCGATTGGTGGGTGATGTGGTGAGCATCACGCATGTCGCCTTTACTTTACATGACTTAAGATTGTACCTGTTTAAGGTTGGGTCGACATGGGAGCAAAGATAATTTTAAAAAATCATTAAAAAAAAAAAGACTGTTAGAATCTGAACTAACACCTTCATATCCGCAGGCAATCGTAGCCCTTATACCACTGTGGCTCCTGACGGAAAATTATTGGTGTGTGGTCAAACATATATAGAGTATAACTGAACATAATCATGCTTTTCTTCTTCGCGTTCACCAGGTGTAAACTCTGGCGGCAAGTTCTGGTTGTTCGTCCACTTTTGGATTGTAGTCCTGTTCCAGAACTTAAGTGGTGCGTGTGCATCCATTTGACAGATCTGACTAATATGTATGCAGACTGTTGGTTTTTTTGCCTCCGACTTTGTCGACTTTTACTACATACTTTTAGGTAGGCAGTGGGTCTATTCTTGAATGAAGAGTGAGAAGCAACAACGAAATTCATAATCTGTTTAAATCACCACTGATCACTGGCATCATGAGAGCTAATAAACTGAAATGGTTGGGCATACTGAAAGGATGTTAGATGACAGAGAAGTAAAAACTGTATACACCAGGGAGATGAATGGTCGTAGACCACGAGGGAGACCAAGATAACGATGGAGAGATAATATCCAGACAGACCTGCAAACACTTTGTGTTACCAACTGGAAAGAGAAGACCAACCAGAGAGACGAATGGAGGCGGGTAATATATGCAGCAATTAACCTCAAGGGCTGAAGAAGAAGAAGTGGGTCTATTCTTGTTTTCCCTAAAACAGGGCCTCGAAACACACGCGGGGAAATCATGTTTTTACCTACCAGAATGTTAAGTTCATCCTTATTTTAGACTGGATAAACATAGATGCCTATGTCAATTTTGATTTGATTTAATTTGATTCAAGAACTGACATCACAGCACTCGGGGCATTCCCATAAGCGCTCCGTTCCCATCTTCAGCAGCCAGCGAAGAGTTCTGATACTAGTGGTGCCCGTAGCATTCTAATTAAACGTCCGTCTTGCCTTCCCTCTGAGCCTCGAGGATTTGCCAAAACCTTTCGTCACTCCCCGCTGCATCAATCTCACCAGACTGTGGTGATCCATCTGCTCCTCCGAACTGTACACGCTCTCCTAGGCACTAACCACGTCTGCCTTATCATGTGTCAGTATTCCACCAAGTTGTGCAGAGCCAGCCAGTCTGTCCGCCTGTTCATTTCCCAACAAACCGGCGTGACCCGGTGAAAAAATCCAGACAATACTCCTCACCCGTGTCCTCCGCAGCGAAGCATGCCATTTTGCACGAAGCATACCTGTTCTGATCTTCCTCGGCATGCTTTCTGAATCAGTTACAATCACGATGTGTGTGTGTGTCGTGTTCTCTAGCCAGCGGAAAGCTGCAGTGACCGCCTCCACCTTCATTCTTAAGCTGAATGTTGTGGTATCATATGTTAGGCTCTCCTGCACCAAACGTCGACCATTAACTTTTGCTATAAAGCCCCAAGCACTTCTTTTGCCTCATGACACTGAACCGACTGTTTAAATGATCAAATCCTCTGAGCTAGCATTATCTTGAATTAATTGCTGAATTTCCACCTCTGTGGCACTTGCTGGCCAATCTCTGCATTCCCGGCTCAGCGCGATTATCTTCTTCTTCTTCTTCTTGTTCACCGGCTGTGAATTCCGGCGGTAAGTCACGGTTGTTCGTCCAAAATGGACTTTTGGCTTTTACCTTGACCTGAGTTTTGCGTGTACATCCGTTTTACTGGCTTATTTGTTTGCAGTACTCGTTCCCCGCCTCTCCGGCAGATGTACTCCGACTTCGGAGGAAGACGTCAAGCCTATTTCTAGGTTGACTGTGGCCATTGTTTTGTGTGGGTCGAGATGTTGCCTTATTTGTGTGGTGTCGTCTTTGACTTTTAACAAGTGTGGCCCCCGGCATGTCGTCCTTAAGGCAGCTCTATGTAGAGTTTTCAGCCCTCAAGGGAAGGCAGGG